TCATAAAGGTCTAATTATTTACCAAAATGTGTGCCTTCCCCTTTCATAGTACAAAGTTGTCACTAGAAAGTTGTCACTAGTTAGGAAGTCATTCTTAAGTACCCATTTTATAAAGGGGGGCCCAGGTGGCTAGTTCTCATCATTGGAATGAGAGCTGAAATAATGTACATTACTTCTGAGAAAAGGAAGTTAAGAAGCAGCATATATTCTCTATTCTCTCTTAACTGCCAACTAGATGCAGAAATTCTAAGGGTCTAGCAAATGCACAATTAGAGGATGGAAGGAACCTGGGTCCATGAATCAGCACTCGAAGATCAAGTCATGCTCTGACTGACCAAGCCCTATATCATCACAAAACTGCTGAGGGAAAAACATTTATTATAAACCTCTAAAATTCTGAGGTTTGTTTTATCTTAGTTCCCAAGATCAACAGAAGAATTGATACCTTTATTGCTGTGACAAAATCTCAAATATGTGACACTAATGAAGAAGAGGCAGGTATCAGGGAAATAACTATGAGAGGCTGATAGGTTGGAATAATGGTAAAAACATTTTATAAATATTACCTTCAATAACTTGAGAAACAGATCAAAAAATAGCTGTGAGCTTGTAGCTCTATAGTCTTGGTTCACAACTGGGTAATTTTGCCTCCTGGAGGACATGTGACAATGACAGAGACAATAAAATATCAAGAAAATTTTAGTTGTTTTTCAAGGCCCACTAAATTGTTGTGGCTCCACTCCTTACATCAGATCATTCTACCTGTCATACATATCAAAATTAATGCCTTTTATTAGCACTCCATCAGCATGCAACACTTAATTCATTTTTTTAACATTTGTCTCCTTTCCATGGTAAATCTCTTGAATGCAGATAGTTTTATCAATGTATTACATACACTGTCTAGAACATGACTTACACATAGAAAGTACACAATTAGTGTTTGTTGAGTAAACATTTGTTGAATGAATACATACTACTCTGCAAAGTATTGATCCCATGGTCCTTGATCTCACAGTCTGCTAGTAAAAGACCTACATTGCAAAAATCACTTCACAATAAAACAAATCTTATGGAATCTGCAGTTTTCACATTAAGGTGTCCCCAGTGACTGCTACCTTTTGGGCATTCTTTTACACCCAACTTCTAATAGCATGAGACTAGTTACTGCGTAAAGTTGCCAGCTACCTAAATTGGGGAAAACAGGTAAAGAGTACATTTCTAGGGAGTGCAGTTGGTCTAGAGTTTGAATGAGTGTCTTTTAAGGAGGTTAATGGTTGGAACATAACTAAATTTTAGTACTTGAGGAGCAAGAAGGGTATTAAAAAAGAAATCACTATGGTTGCCCTGAGAAAGAAGAGTCAGAGGCAAGGGCATATATGTACATCAGGAAAGGCTCACTTAAAAAGAGGAGATATAGGTAAGAAAATAGACAATTACCTATTTTGTCCTTTTGGACCAAGAAAGATTAGCTTAATCTGACATTCAGTTAAAAATTTTTTTACATTCCTTAATCCCTCTAGGTGGCTCTGACATTAGGATGCTAATGGAGAGTTTACTATAGATACGAGGCGAAGCAACAATTGTAATTTCCATTCCAGACATAAATCTTATCAATTAAGATACAATTTTGGGTTTCTGTATACAGGGTGATTGGAGATAGATTTGGGATGGTAATGGAAATGGATGAAGTCATTCCAGAACAATAAAAACCTAGAACAAAGAAAAGCCTAAAATGTAGAGGGTATACAGAGAAGCCAGAAAAGGAATGAAGAAGCAAAATAAATCATAATAGTTTCCTTACACAGTCCATATTACACTGTGTTGGCTGTTTTATAGGTACTTATAAATGAACCAGATGGTTTTGGTTTTGTTATTTTTCCACCTTGATTTCAGGATCCTTAAGGACAAGAACTACTTCTCATCCTTCTTTTATATTTTCCTAAACCCACCACCCCCAGTACAGTCTAATGCATATACTAAAGCTCAAATGAATTATTGATTCACTGAATGTAAACCTGGCAAAGAACTTCACTTCCCTAGCCCATCTACCCCTAAATATTTCAAATCTCTCACAAACAGCAAGTTTCTGATTTCCTGCAGGAACCCCTGCAATTAAACCTACTCTACTCAGACCTACTGAGAAAAAAAACCTACTCAGAATTCTTGGCTATTAGGAGTACGGGTTTAAAGAAAAATTGTAACATATAGTTGGTTTTCAGAGAGATGTTGTATCAAGGCTCATTAATGGGAAAATCTGGCAAGACTCGTTGAGAGAACATGAATCTATGGCTAATTTCTTGATAGAGAAATAGAATGCCAAACATAGCCTCTAGTAAGGCTGAGGAAACAGGATTGGGAATGAAGGGTTTATGACATTGGGGCAGATACAGTACCCAAACAGCTTCTGGCATCATCCACTAAACAGTTTCAACTACTGATCAAATACATTTAATTCGACACTAACATAACATTCCATAGGTGAGAGAGATTATAGGAACCATCTACAAGTGAGCAGCACATACTAGTAAGCCTGAGATTAAGATGCTGAAATGCACATGATTAGAAAACAAACCTCACTGCAGGACACATTTCCTTTTAATTTTGCTCTTCTCTAATCACCCCTTCCATTTCAATCTAACTTTCATTCTGTTCCCATATCATCTGTGGATAAAATTAGAGTTCCTGTGGCCAGGATTCTCACCTGGCCCTGGTTGACTAGCTCAATGCACACCTGTGGGCAATACATGGCTGTTGACTCTATAAAAAAGAGCTCTGCCTAGTGCTCTCGGCATGACACGGTGTCAGAGCTGCAAGGCTGTAGAGCAGAGCAGAGGCTGGAGTGGTGGCAGCGCCGAGGACAGAGGCCCAGAGGACGGCTGTGCGGGACCACTGTGCAGATAGGCCCCGAGGACGGCTGTGCAGACAGAGGGGCCCAGAGGACGGCTGTGCAGAGTGGCCCAGAGGCAGAGACTGGCTTGCTGCATGTAGACTTGCTCTGGATGAAAGGGATTTTAGTGACTGACCTAACACCTGGAAATAAAGTTGGGTATAACCTTTCACCCACCCCTAAATATTTCAAATCTCTCACAAACAGCAAGTTTCTGATTTCCTGCAGGAACCCCTGCAATTAAACCTACTCTACTCAGACCTACTGAGAAAAAAAACCTACTCAGAATTCTTGGCTATTAGGAGTACGGGTTTAAAGAAAAATTGTAACATATAGTTGGTTTTCAGAGAGATGTTGTATCAAGGCTCATTAATGGGAAAATCTGGCAAGACTCGTTGAGAGAACATGAATCTATGGCTAATTTCTTGATAGAGAAATAGAATGCCAAACATAGCCTCTAGTAAGGCTGAGGAAACAGGATTGGGAATGAAGGGTTTATGACATTGGGGCAGATACAGTACCCAAACAGCTTCTGGCATCATCCACTAAACAGTTTCAACTACTGATCAAATACATTTAATTCGACACTAACATAACATTCCATAGGTGAGAGAGATTACAGGAACCATCTACAAGTGAGCAGCACATACTAGTAAGCCTGAGATTAAGATGCTGAAATGCACATGATTAGAAAACAAACCTCACTGCAGGACACATTTCCTTTTAATTTTGCTCTTCTCTAATCACCCCTTCCATTTCAATCTAACTTTCATTCTGTTCCCATATCATCTGTGGATAAAATTAGAGTTCCTGTGGCCAGGATTCTCACCTGGCCCTGGTTGACTAGCTCAATGCACACCTGTGGGCAATACATGGCTGTTGACTCTATAAAAAAGAGCTCTGCCTAGTGCTCTCGGCATGACACGGTGTCAGAGCTGCAAGGCTGTAGAGCAGAGCAGAGGCTGGAGTGGTGGCAGCGCCGAGGACAGAGGCCCAGAGGACGGCTGTGCGGGACCACTGTGCAGATAGGCCCCGAGGACGGCTGTGCAGACAGAGGGGCCCAGAGGACGGCTGTGCAGAGTGGCCCAGAGGCAGAGACTGGCTTGCTGCATGTAGACTTGCTCTGGATGAAAGGGATTTTAGTGACTGACCTAACACCTGGAAATAAAGTTGGGTATAACCTTTCACCCAAGAACGTTTTGCTGTTATTTTCTTTGGTCACATTGAATCCATAGCGAACTTGCCCGGGGCTGAAACCCATTGGCAAGATATCATCTCATTTCAGAGGCTTAGTTTTCTCCTCCTTTGATCTGTACAACTCTGAATGTATATATGCTCTATGCTTTTGGTAGTAGTGGTTTCCAGTATCTTTGGTCTAGCAAGATTTTCCAATTGGTACTATACTGTACCAATTCTTTGATTCTCTTTGAGATTGCCTCATGAACTAGAGAGAAATGTTCGCATGAATTATTTATTTCCCAAGGGTTGGTTTTAGATTGTTGAAATGAGAAAGCATCCTCACTGTGCATGGCTAACCAGAAATCAAAAAACAGATGATCCAAGTTTCAAATGCTATTAAGTTATGAATAAAGAGAAACAGACACTAGAGCAGAAAAAGAGGAAAACTTACCTCAAAAATGTGCAAAGGAAAGGGCAACTGCTGCTCCAAATGCATTGGAAAACATGTGAGTAAATTCAGAGACCTGTGGCAGGTGGTGGTTGGAGGGGGTGCAGGGTAGTAAGAAAAAAATGTTGCACATTTGAAAAGGTTAAGAGGTTAGCCTAGGTTGGAGAATATAAGTGAAGGCTTTGGCATCAAATACCTGGGTCTAAATTCTTACCTGTAGTCAAGTGATCTTCAGCAATTAAGAGTATGAGCTGAGCATCAGTATTTCCACCTAATTCATAATTTGAGGATTATGTAAGTATACTGCCTAGAACATGATATGGGATTCACTAATTGTTAGCTTTTATACTTATGTTTAAGGATAGAAGCATCCAAAACAGACCTGTTAGCCTACCAGTTGGCAGCTTTTGGAAGAAAACAAATAGCTGTTAAAAAAAAAAACAAGAAACAGTCTATCACAAACTAGAGTCACAAGATTCACACTCAAGGTCACACACCAGTGAACCTTTTACTAGATATTAAAGTTTAAAACCACACAGCTTAACAGTAATGTCAGCCTTACCACCAGGTGGCAACTGTACAGCTGAATTTCACTGACAAGGTTAAAAACTGAGCAAATCTAGACAGAAATTCCAAACTTTTTAGTACATATTTTCATTTTAGAAAAACTGAAAATCCTTTTATATACCGTTTAATTTATAGTAGAATGTGTATCTGATTCAACATGTATGTTAACTTGTAATGCTTTTTTCCTCTGTGCACTGAGGCAGTTCATGCAACAAACATCATTTTTAAACAGTTCTCATCACAGATAAGTCTTTTCTAAAATATCTGGACATATGTCATGAAGAAAACAGAAATTAGGGAAAGCTAAAAATCTTTTGGAAGTTTTAGAATTCTAAGAAAGGTACTATAAAATACTAAGCCAAGTATTCCAAAGAAAAAGTTAAACCTTTAAAAAGTGACAGATAGAAAACAATTTAAAAAAAATTTAGGACCAAAATAATACAGAGACACCCTTCGTTTTTAAATTACTAATTAAATTAACATTCGTATAGGTAGTCTTTTCAATGTCTTGATTAAACATTGAATTTACTAAGCAAATTTATCAAAATTCTGACAAATGAATTCTAGAAGAATACCTCTTTCAAAGTGTCAAAATAATAAATGATAAAATCCCTTAAAATCTGGCACTTTCCATAATTATTTCTGCTTTCCTCATAAAACAGGTCACAACTTAACAGCTTTTTAAAAATAATAAAAGCTTTATTCACTTCTCATCATATAAAAATATGAAAAACTTTTTCGAATTATAGACATTTTCAAGTACAAAGTAAAAAAAAAGTCTTTCAAATTCCCAAGATGTTTTCCCACTATAAGGTGGGAGCTCCTATCACCACATGTAACATTACATAACCTGTACTATACTTACATGAATAAATAATAGTTACCCAATTCATAAGACCAATTAAAACAAGCCTATTTATTCCCTTTGTATAAATAACCTGTAAAAATACCCATAATTTTCAACTCCCAGTTTTCTACAAATAGATCAGAGTATCTCTTTTATATATCAGTTTTCCAATAGTTTTCACATTAATTTAGTAATCACTTCCTAGTGTATTTTGCAAGAAAAATCTCCCCTTCTTGCCACCCAAACATGATAGAACAAAAGTATGATTTCTAAGCTATTTTTATAATTCATAGATCATTATTTCTTCATTATTGGACTTCATTTTGAATTATTATAGATCACCCTGAAATCTAAAATATAATTTCTCATTCCATCAGTGTACAGATGGATACACAAAACAGATAACCATTTAGTATTAGCACAAGAAAAGATTAGTGTGGCAGCTCTCACAGATCAAACAAGATTTCAGCAAAGTTCTTGATCTCTTCACTGTTATCAGTAACTTTTGCTAGAAAATTTAGGGAATGCCACTGAAATGGAAGGGATAATTGTAGATTTACAAAAGAGAGTATGTGTGTACATGTAATTTACATCTACACAAAATCAACTTCCAATTATTTGTAAATGGACAAGAGACACAGATGATGCCAAAGCACATAATCCTCAAACCACTTCAGATACCTTTTTGCATCAGTATTTCACAGGACTGTGCCTGAGAATTCAGAACACAAAGAAAATTAGCCATATGCAGAGAGGTTAAGGGTTACAAACACAATTACAAGAACAATGATAATACTGAAATGCCATTATTGACTTGAGTTTGTCATCTTCTGTTTATTTCTGATGGTGGCTCTAAGTTTACGTATCACCAGTTTATCAGGCAGAATCATATCACCTTGTTGTTCTAGATAATCTAATAAATTTTCAGTCCATTGGAGAGCAGCTGCATGATTAATATGTTTTTCTGGAATCAGTTCTATTTCCTCCTCCTCATTTTCACTGGATTCATCTGTCTGGCCTTGTGCTCTTCTGATGATTTCACTGTCAGTTAACACTTCATAGCCTGGTTCAGTACTGTCCACTTCAAGCCATTTCTCTATGTTCTCAGTAGTCACATTTTCCAATCCTTTGGTATGCTGTAAAATGGTGGCCACAGTAGCCACTGAAATATCTTCTTCAAAGTCTAAGCCTTCTTTCTCCTCTATGGTAGGAAGAATCTTCTTCCATGCTCTGCTAATGGTAACTGGCTTTACTAAATTCCATGCCATTGCTATTTCATAAAGTGCATCTAGCAGAGTTAGTTTCTTCCAGAATGACTTCAGGTCATTACCTTCTTCCAAGTTGTTCTGGAGAAGACCAGCGCGATAGTTTCTCTTCATTGTCGCAATGACTCCCTGATCTGAGGGCTGGATCAATGAAGCCACATTAGGTGGTAAATATTTAGCAAATATTTGGCCATCATCTGACCTCAGCACGTTTTCATTTGGATGTGTTGGTGAATTATCCAACAGGAGCACAGCCTTTTCCTGCAGCCCTTTGGATCTTAAGTACTCTCGAACTTGTGGCACAAAGATCTTATCAAACCACTGTCGGAAAATGGAAAGGTCCATCCATGCACCTTTCTGGCTGAAATAAGAGACTGGCAGGTTCGAGGTGTCAGTTGACTTGAAGGAGCGAGGTTTCTTTGCTTTCCCCACAACACAAAGTTTAAGTTTGTGTAAACCCGTTGCATTGGCACAACACATGATAGTGACTCTTTCAACTGACTTGTGCCCAGGAACAGTGCATTTACCTTTGTTAACTGAAGTCCTGGAAGGCAGGCATTTCCAAAAGAGACCAGTTTCATCTGCATTATAGATTTGTTCAGGTTGCAGATTCTCTTGTTCAATGAAGTCTCGAAAGTTGTTACAAAAATCTACCACAGCAGTCTCATCTCCATTTAATCTTTCATTTCTAATGTTAATTTCTCTAATGCTGTGTCGCTGCTTAAAACGAGTTAACCAACCAGCAGAGGGATTAAAATCACCATCCATTCCCAGAGCATAAAAGAAGAATTCTGCTCTTTTTGCACAAATTGGTCCAGATATGGGATTCCCTTTTGCCCTTTGTTGATTGAACCATTCCAGCATTGCTCTGTCCAGTTCCTCATACATGCTTGGCTTCATAGATTTCCTCTTGGCCAGAAGACTTGTGGAATCAGAACTGCTTGCATAAGTTATAATCTTTTCTTTATTTTTTCTTATATCCCGAACAGTTGTCTCACCAATTCCATAAATCACTGCCAGCTGTTTGGAAGAACCTCCGTCTTCAAGTTTCTTTATTATGTCAAGCTTATCTTTAATTGTCAATACCACTCGCTTCCGTTTCCCTGACATGGCGAGGCTCTGGGATTCAGGGACTCACCCCACACTGACACGGCAGCAATCCACAAAATTCTTCCTTCTTTCACACTCACTTTAACACAGCCTTACAGCTTTTCAACCTTACCAGGAACCCGGGGACCCTGACCCCGTCCCCGTCCAGGCTCGGCGGGCAAGGAGATGGCAGAGGACGGCGAGAGGGAAGGAGTTTGTGGGAAGAAGCCTTTAACTTCCCTCTGCAAGGCCCCAAGGCACCGCGGGTAATCCGGATCACAAACATTCGTTTCATTCCCAGCGGCCGCGAGAGAGACTACACCCCTTCGCGACCACAAGGCCCCTTGGCGCCCGGATCCTGGGCAGATGCCTGCCGCCGGCCCCTGCACTCCGCGAAGTTAGGGCAGAGAGCGGAAGCACCGGGAGCCGGCGCGGCTTCCCAGGATGGGAAACCGCACTCCTTCCCCAGCAGCCGCCCTCCCGAGCTGGACTTGGCCGGGACGGTCCTCCCGGCGCTCGCTGCCCGCCGGGCCCTCCGCCCACCTCGGCCGGAACCGGGGCGCACGGCCTCTCCGACCGCTGCGCGGCAACCGCTTGTCCCCGCACGCGCTCCCGGAAGGTGCCTCCAGCCTCCGCCCCGCCTCCCCACCCAGGAGGCGGGACTTTCACCGGTGCCCCGACAGAGGGACGCGCAGCCCGTCGGGACGCGGCGTCGGGGGCGCAGGCGCAGGCGCAGGCGCAGGCGCAGGCGGAGAGCCTCTCCGACCGCTGCGCGGCAACCGCTTGTCCCCGCACGCGCTCCCGGAAGGTGCCTCCAGCCTCCGCCCCGCCTCCCCACCCAGGAGGCGGGACTTTCACCGGTGCCCCGACAGAGGGACGCGCAGCCCGTCGGGACGCGGCGTCGGGGGCGCAGGCGCAGGCGCAGGCGCAGGCGCAGGCGGAGACGGAAGCGCTCCGAACGGTGAGGGAGCAGGGACAGTCGGGGCGGTGGGAGCGGCGCGGGGCGGGGACTTTCGTGCTCCGGCTGTCGCAGGCCTTCGAGAGGGCTGAGAAGTCGTGTTCCCAGCGGCAGGGAGGGGATCCCCGGGCGCCCCCGGGGCAGGCGGGACGGCTCCCTCCGCGCGCCCCTCGCCGCGCCCCGGGCCCGGGCAGCGCTGCAGTGGGCAGTGAGCCCGCTCCCGCATGAAGGGCTTGGGTAAGGCCAGTGCGGGAGCTCCCGGGGTCGACTAAGCGGGGTCTGGCCTCGCAGCGCCTTGTCTGTCTTCTGGGTGCTGAGCGCCTCCAAAGTCGGGGCGTTGGTGCGGCGTGGCGCCCGTCGACTCCGAGCTCTGAGCGGCCGATTCCGTGGCTGCGGCCCCCTGCCGGAGAGGCTCTGCATCCCGCCCGAGAGTCAGCTTTGCGGTCATGAAAATGACTGGTGTGAACTCCCGAAACGGTCTGTGCCTTATAGTGCCATTCGTCCCTGGTGGATTTAGCGAACCACCCTGAGAGTTAACAGATTATAATAAATACAGTAGTTGTCCCGGATGCCAAACTGGCAGGATGCTTTCCGCTTAATTGCGGGAGATGGGACTGTGATTCTAAGCGGGAGAGAGTGGTTTTCCTCCATGTTTCTTTTTTTGTTTCTGCGTGTTGTGTTGTCCTGTTTTCCAGCCAGTGGAAGAACTGTAATAAATTAATTCGAAGCAATGTAATAAGAACATAATCAGAATGAGTACATTATAGCCCTTAAGCCATGTATTGTACTGGCTTGTTTTGGTGCCCTAATAATCTCATCAAATTGTGAGCTCCTTGGGACAGCCTGTGTTGCCGATTTCTTCTAGTAATCCCACAGCTCCAAAGCATGTGTTTGCGCATAATGTACATTCAGTAACTATTTATTTGGTTTATTAAGATTCCTTTTCCAACCTGCCATATAAAAGAAAACAACAAGGAGGGGTGATGTTTTACAAATAGGAATGCATCCTTTCTGGTGGAATTTCAAGTAATAGTGGGGGATTCATTGTCCTTGGAACCTTAAAGCCTAAACCACTGTGTACATCGTTGATATGGCAAATAAGCAATTGCTAGAATGAATCTTTTCCTGAAGGTAAACTAACCTCAAAGTCTTAAAAAGGGTATTTGTTCTAATGAGTAATTCAAGTGGCATCATCAAAGTACCTTCTTTTAGTTACAGAGTTACTGTGTGAAAGAAAGCAATATGGGTTATTGCCTGTAATTTAACAATTTTTTGAAAGACAGCATAGTTATGTATGTGTTTTTTTCAGGGCCTTTAACCATGAAGCACAAGGATGTGATAGTATTGATCGCCTTCATTCATTTAATGTTTGGAGTCTCTCTGTTTTTCTCTTCACCTAAAGGTAAGATATTATTAAAGAAGCTTAATTAAATTATCATTTCAAGAAATTGAGTGTACCCTCAGCACATATAGAAATTACATCCATTTGCATGGGTTTCTTTTTTGAGTTAATTCTAATGACTAAGGTCTTGCTCATCAGTTTAGCTTTACTTTCTCATTTCTCTCCTCAGGTTCAATTCACTCACCTTTTCCCTCTGTCAACATTCTTTCCTCCCCAGCTAACATGGTGAAAGTACCTACAATTTAAAAAGAGGAGCCAACCATATTCAAATTATCTTCTTTTTCAATGGCAGAATTTTTGACATTATTGATATAAATGGCAGTTTTGAAATACGGAGAACTTGGCAATTCAGCAGTTGGCCAGATGAACTTGATTCACTTTATTTAAATAAAATTTGCTGCTTTAAACATTCAGTAGTACAGGTTTCAAAAATAAATGTTTTTCTCTTCAGAACTGCCTTTCCTTGAAACTTTTACTTTTGGACTCACTAGGGAATTTCTTAAATTTTGTGAACAGTGTCACCAATAAGATGGTAGAGCGAAGTCTGAAAATTTTCATCTCTTTTGCACATTCTTTTTTTGTCTATTGAATAAATAATCTCTGGAAGTTTCTGGCCTAACTCATGTACACTAAAATTCAGTTACATAATTTTTAAAAAGCAGTTTATAAACTCTTGTTTTAATGATTATTTTCTGAAACTGAAATTCAGCATCAATGAGAGATAAAATGACTTCTTAAAGACATGATTTTTACTACCTTGTACAAATATAATATTGACAGCCATCACTGTGTAGCGCTGGACGGGGAATCAGGAGACCTGGTTTCCAATTCCTGCTCTGTTACTAACAAGCTGTGTGATCTTCAGTAAGTCATTCAAACTCTGTGTCCTTGGCTTTGATTTTGAAAAATGAAGATAGAAAATATCTTCCTTCTAAGATCACTGTTAGGATTTAAAAATAAGATATGAAAATGCACTGAAAAATTATTGTATATACAGGTTTTTTTTAATAGCTTAACTGTGTGCAATGATAGGTATTTTTATATTGTGACACTATCATTTCTACCATTGTCATAGAAATCACCTATTGATAAGTTAAATGTCTGTCTTTTGAGCACGATACACTTTTGTTATTTAAGCATCCAGTGTATCAAGCTGCTTTTTTATACTAATAAATTCATCTTTTACTTTAATGTTCCCATTATCCACATTTGCTTTAGTGTATCTACTAAAGCTGTATTTGTCATTTGTTTTCATAATATTTTTCATTATTTCTCCCAATTCACTAAGATTTATTAGAAAGCCTTACCTCCTTATTACTGTGTAATGCACATGAACTCTTCATTTATGCAAATTTAGCTATATAAAAATATACTTCTTTCTACTATATGGCTTCTAAATGCAAGCTGCCTAGTTTATCTGGTGCTTAATAAGAAACAAAACAGAACAGTAATCTCTTTAGAACCTGGAGAAAAAAATGGGTAGACATTGAGAAGGAGTTACAAAAAAAATACTTTAAGGAGTAATATATTTTTAAAAAGGGTAATTTTGCCCATGCACAGTTGTCATCTTTGCTGATTTTAATAAAACCCAAGTTTAATTTCAAAATACCAGAACAGGTCTAGTAACTAGGATTTGTTTAGATTGCTGTTACAATACTGAATATATCTTGTAACAGTGACTGTCATAAGGTTATACTTAAGCCTACACTATAATTTCTGATGTATAATCTTAATGACCATCATTGTTCTGATTTTTTATGAATGTTACCATTACAGAAGCAGTCTCATTGCCTTATAAACATAACTGAATTTTTACAATTAAATGAGTGGTATCTCCCTGCTACAAAAAAAGTAATTATTTTTGACATTCTGTTTTGGGGATTATCTTCAGAGTTTGCAGCATGTTTAAAATAAAAAATATCCACAAGTAGTTATCTTCATCTTTTGAAATTGGATTTCATTTCCAAAAGTCACTAACAGTGCTTTATAAATGAGACAAGTGAATAAAGTAAGTCATTAAGTCATTTGTTGGGATAAAATATGAAGTGTAATTATTTTCATATTTTTATAAATTTTTAACACTGTGGTTTATAGAAAATCTCCAGGAATATTCTGTGCCATAATGGAAATACTGGAATAATCAGCCTAATAAGGTGATTTCTCCAAAGGAAATAGCACTCAAATATATCGGTTCTTCTACATGTATTATGAGGTTAGTCTCATTACATTGTGATCATGTTTCTATTTTCCTTAGCAACTACAGAAGTACATATGTGTTACTGCTTTTCTAATTACCTGCTTGTCTCTAATTGCTCTTTTACTGCATACTGGTGATAATTTTAATGGAGTTCGCCCTTTTCTGAATCAGAAATTTGCAACATTTGTTTTCTGTCTCAATACCATGCTCTGCTTTGCCATGAAACATTTTTGTTTTTTTACCTTTTGTCGGATTGTTAGTAAGTTTTCTATTGGATTATATTGTATCTTTAATTTTGGTTTAAAACCATTGCCATTTACTAAAGTGTACAGAAGCTGCAGTTTTAGTGGATAGATTATCTTTCAGTTTTGCTTCCCTATATTTTTTATGCCAACTACTACTTTATAACTTCATATATTGATTGGTCCTTTATGTTACAATTCATGTCATTTCTCTGTTCACAGTCCATCCTTGCTTACAGGATTACTCTTTCTGGCAATCTCTATTTTCCTATATCTTCCTTTCTTCTTCTAGTGTAAAGCATTTCTTCATACCATTTTCAGACCTTTTTGGTCACATTTATTTACTGAACATACCATGTTCCTTTTCAGTGGCATAGTTTGGACCTTACCATTTTTACATAAGGCTAAAATCCTTTTTTCTTTCATTTTGTCTGTTCAAAGATAACTAATCCTTCTGAAGTCTATCAGATCATATCTGTTTAATAAAATCTTTAGTGATGCACTTGCTACACTGATCTTCCTGCATCTTTACATTTTTATCACAGTTATTTTTATCATTCGATACTAAATGAATACAACCTTCCATTTTTTTCTTAGTTCTTATGTGTATGTTTTAGTTCTACACATGGCTGATAATCTTCTGAAAAACAGGACCATGATTTTTCTGTGTATCCCTTTCAGCATAACAGATAGCATAATTCAGAGTAGATGTTCACATAGTAATTTCATTGATCTTCAATAAATTATTCATTGAATAACTGGTACCATTTTCACTCTATATTTCATGTGATACCTTTGTGAATCATTTTATAACACCAAATAAATATAGTTTGTACCACAAATTCATTAATTGTAATCTGGTTATCATTATTGTATTCCCAATAACTTTATTTTGTAGAAGCTTAAGTGAAAATGGAACATGTTAGAAGACATGAAACAAGGAAAAATTCTAAATCTCAAGATCATGGGCAGAAATCTCGAGTTGATTGGAGGCGGACTAAAAGAAATAGTATCTCACAATTATTTGATAGTGATGAAGAGCTGGATAGTGATGAGGAGCTGGATAGTGATGAGGAGCTGGATAGTGATGAAGAGCTGAATAGTGAGGAGGAGTTGGATAGCAATGAGAATCTGGATAGTGTTGAAAGTGTTGACAATGATGAAGAGCTTGAGAGTAACAAGGGGCTGGGTAGGAATAAAAAGCCAGAAAATGAAAGTGAGTTTAAATTAACTCAAACTGACAGTGAAGGAAACAAATGTGACCATCTCATTAATGCTGGCAAAAGTTTAGCATGTGAAGAAGAAAAGAACAAAACCAAACATAGAAGTATTGACTTACCAGATCATGAAAAGCATTCAAGTGAAGAAGAGGAGCATCCCCACGAACACACTGGACAAATAATAGAGGAGGATTTAGAAGAAGAACACATCAGGCGAGGGAAGAGAAAAAGGATCTCCTCTGTGATGTATGACAGTGATGAGAGTGATGACAGTGATATTCTAGTTAAGAAAGTAGGTCTTAAACGTCCACGTAGAGTGGTTGAAGATGAGTCTTCTTCAGTGGAGATGGAGCAAAAAAAAAATGAAAAAGCTTTAGCTGCAAAAAAGCAAGAACAATTCCAGAAACTGAAAGAACTTTCAAAACTAAGATCTCGCCGGAGACGCAATAGTAGTAGAGACTTTGAGGTGTGTTACATTTTATTGGTTTTGTTGCTGTTCTTAAATTTTTAGTTAAAGTACTTTTTATAAAAAAGTACTGAGTCTGTATTGTTTCTCAATAATCCTAGAATTCATTTTTTAATCAAGTATCCTTGAACATGTTTGATTACATCGTTGTATCCAGTATATTGTTTTACATGAGCTTCAGTCCCTCTTTTTTAAAATTGAAAGGCTGGTTTGTATGATCTTTCCTGTTTTGAACTTCCATTTATAATCTTAGTGTCCATTTTAAACGTTTTACATTACTTACCAAGGTATATTATCTTCTTCCTAATTTCAGAAGCTCAGTATTTAACATACAAAAATTTTTTGACCTTAAAATATGAAATTCATTTCTATAGAATGGATCATTTTTTTGTTCCAGTTTTAATCTTTTAATTTCACATCCATACTGACAAGTTTAAAAGTCCAATTTACTGAAGGATATGTTTTAATTTAATTAGGACTCTGGAAAGGAATCTTGCCCAAGCAGTGATGAAAGTGAGAAGGAGGAGGAGGAGGATGAAGATGATGAAGATGGAGATGATTATATTATTGATGACTTTGTAGTACAAGATGAGGAGGGTGATGAAGAGAATAAAAGCCGGCAAGGAGAAAAATTGACTATATCACAACTGAAATTAGTAAAAAAGAATTCTCTTTGTAAGTTAAATATCAAGAAAATGTTCTATGACTTGTTATAATCATGGTAGTATATCAAGTATCAAATTAGCCTTTTACTATCATGTTCTAAATTATTGAATAGAAACTATAGTTTCATCTTCAGGTAACTTTAATTTGTCAGGCTGATAAAAGTTTATTCTAGTAGTTTCAGGTACTAGATACTGTTTATACTCTTAAAAATTATTGAAGACCCCAAAGAGCTCTTTCTTCTGTGGGTTATATCTATCAACATTTACCATTGTAGAAATACAAAACGAAGACATTTAAAATAGATTTATTAATTGACTTAAGGTAACAATAAACTCATTAATGGTAATGTACATTTTTATGAAAAATAGTTATATTTTCCTCCAGAATTAGAATGGCATTGTTTTACATTTTAATAAATACACTTTATGTCTAGCTTAATAGGAGGTAGCTGAGTTCTTATATTTGCTTTTGCATTAGTCTGTGTGGTCTCTTGGTTAAAGAAGATGAAATAGTATTGCTTCACACAGATAACTGGAAAAGAGAGGAGTAATTGAAAAGTATATTCAAGATAATTGTGGATATTCTCCTTTTAAACTATACCACAATTCAACAAGTGATAGTTTTTTAAAGGCTAGTTGTAGTATAGAATCTGAAACCATATAATTGAACTTGTAGTACTTACCTATGATAAAACCCATTGGTCTGTCTTGGCGGTTTGAATGAATCTTTTATCCATTCATGATTTTGTAACATCATGTATTGATCATTTGGAAAATACTGGTTCACTGGCTTTTGCAGATCTTCCAAATATTGACACATTTCATTATATAATATTTTAAAAATCACATCTGTTAATATCACCACTGACCTCATCAGAAAATTCTTTAGTTATGGGGAAACAATCACAGTAGCAAATACAAGTTTTTCAAACCTCTAATTTCTACTTAAAAATCTGTTTATCTTTGGCAGTAAATATTGTGAGTTGTTCTTGAAATGACACATCCCCTTTGTTCTTTTTTTGAGCAAATACTTGACAAATGCCCGAATAGCCATAGTTTGTCAGTCATTTTTCAAGTTAAAATGGTGTTTCATGACAAATGAGGCTTTTTCAGCTCCTAATTCAGGATGCATCCTTAAGTGTTTCATGCATACTACCCATTTCATCCCATTGAATACCAAAAACATATATGCTGAAGATTTAATACAGTTAATAATTTTTATTACTTCATCAAGGACATTTTGAGGTGAAAGTAGCTTTTTTCTGAGTACATAGAAGTGACTACAATGATTACTAGTAGTTTAGTGCTAGTCCATGAGCTAGTCCATGATTTATGTTAGGGAGCCAGCTGCCCTAGGCCTTGTTACTTTTCCACCACCAGTGAAAATGTGAACAGTGTGCAAACAGTGAATAATTATCTTAGTGTTATTGCTTTGACCTCACAGATCCCCTTAAATGGACTTGGAGACTTCTAGGGTCTACAGACCATACTTTGAGAACTGCTGGTTCTGTCAGGTGAATTGAAGCATCACTCAGTGAAATGTATCAGAGATAGGAAATTAGAAACTTTTACAGTTTTATATAGTTAGGACATCTTTAAATATACATTATTATTTTGATCCCTATAATTGTACATAAATTCAAAGGTTGTTTTTATGATGTTTTAAAACCTTAGTAGAAAGAGGCTACTAGATGAATACATTTTTTTTTTCTTCAAGAATGCTTTCTCTCCCAATTTTTTTAAAAGGCCGTATTTTCTAAAGTGTGTAACATGATTCAATTTAGATTTCATTATTTATGATAAAATAGAAGATTGAGGTATGATTCAAGCTTCAAAAAATTTATCAGTTTTAGAGATGCCAGTGACAGACATCTATATATTGAAAATTAGTAACTTCCTTATATCAATAGGAACTGGTTCACTTGGCACCTGCACATTTGAATCTCCGGGGAACTCAATTAGGATTATAAATCTGGATTATAATGTGTAATTGCATTCTAAGTATATAATTACATGATATATATTACCATGTATAATTGTATATTTTAAACATATAAATATATATATATATAAAATACATAATGCAAACATTTTGCATTCGTATGACACATTTAGTACAATTGATGAGCCAATGCTGATACATTTTTATTAATTGTAGTTCATAGTTTACCTCAAGGTTCATTTTTAGTGTTGTACATTTTATGGGTTTTGACAAATGTATAATGATGGGACAGGTATCCAGAGTTGTAGTATACAGAAGAGTTACACTGTCCTAAAACTATATACTGTGGTCTACCTATTCACCCCTCCCTTCCTTTCTTGAACCCCTGGCAACCACCTTTTACTGTCTCCATAGTTTTTGCCTTTGCCAGAATGTTTTATAGTTGGAATCATCAGACTTTGGTGTGCAGTGTTAGGGCTTCATGCATACTTCCCATTTCACCCCAGTGAATACTAAAAAACTTGTATGCTGAAGATTTAATAGTTATTTTTACTACCTCATCAAGGACATTGTTAAGTGAAAGTAGCTTTTTTACTGAGTGCCTTTTTAAGACTGACTGCTTTCACTTCATATACATTTAAGTTTCCTCCGTGTCTTAATGTGCCTTAGTAGCTCATTTCTGTCTATCAATGAATACTGTTCCACTGTATGAATGTACCAGTTTGTTTATCCATTTGCATGTTGAAGAACATATAGGTTGCTTCCAAGTTTTGGCAATTATGAATAAGGGTGCTATAAATATTGGGTGTAGATTTTTCTGTGTTTGTAAGTTTTCAACTCATTTGGGTAAATACCAAGGAGCTCTGTACTTAACATTTTCCACTGAGCCCCTTCACCTCCAAGGGAGATGTATCTCATTTTTTATGCAATACATTTTACCTTGTGTGCTCTTAATTGCAATTTTTCCTCCTGGCTCTGCCTTTTCTCATCCTACATTCATGTTTTTTCTACCTTGAGTTGATAGGTTCCACCAGCCACACTATTCTAAATCTTACTTTTTGTCCACGTCTTCTGTTAACTAAAAGCAATATACTCAGACTCTTGCACCCATCAATCCAGTAAAATTGTTCTCACTAAAGTTTGTGATAACTTACCAGTTGCCAAATACTCCTCAGTTCTTATATTAACCTAGTATATATTGCTTTGTGCTTTGCCATCAACCATTGACCACACTGATTTTCAGAACATCCTCTTTTTAGTTTCTGTGGTATCATTCTTTCTTGCCTTCTCTTTTATAATATTACTTTCCCCTTTTCCCATTCACCATGTAAATATTGATGTTTCTAAAGGTTACATCCTCAAACTACCTTCATTTTGTTTATACTTCAGGTAGTCTCTTCCTCATAACTTCAGCCTAATCAATAGGCAAAAATTCCCAAACTTTTATTTCAAGCACAGATTGCTCCAAAGACTAAGGTCCATTTTCTCATCTTACTGAACATTTTCCTCCAAGCGTCTTTCGGATACCTCAGACTCAATATGTGGAGAACTAAATGTTTACAAGGTAGTGTAAGGGTGTTTTGAGGTGGTGGTAGAACTGTTGTTTTTTTGGTTGTCATTTATACAACTTTATTGGTCATTGAACTCTACACCAAAGAGTGAATTTTATGGTATGTGAAAAAGTAAAGCCCAATAAAAAGAGCTAAGTGGGTACCCCATTTCCTAAAAATAACCGAAATGGTTAGTCAACTTTGCATCTCTTTGTATTCCTAGTACCCATTGGAGTTGGTGACACATTATAGGAACTCATTGTTAGTTGGATGGGTGAATAATTAGATAAGCACATTTGTTGGAGGCTCCTGGATCTTAAAGTTCAAGACAGAAAAATATTATATATAAAACCAGATTTCTTAAAACATAAGAGGAAAAAGACACTATTTTAATGATAACTTGAGACTTGATTAATGTTTTTATTACTTAACCAATGCTTATGCCATTTGTGAATATAATACATTAAATATAGGCAGTTTTTAATATGCCAAGGTATATGTTCTAAAAATTGTTATAAGTTAATTCTTACATATGAAAATCAAAATATATATTCTCATTAAAGCAATAACCTATATGATGAATAATTAACACCACTCTATGTCCTGGGTTAAGTTGTCAATAGGCTAGTATTCCAAGATTCAATCTCGTCCTAATGCCTCCAAGATTACTGAGAAGTATTCATAGTCAACATATGATCAAAATTTAGGAGAAACATTTTTTAACTCCAAATAAAGCACTCAGTTGAGAATCACAGTCAGTGGCCTGTGCAATTTTATCTTTTTGAAGAAAAAAATTCTACCTGCAGGAAAACAATTTTGTCACTTCCTCACTGTATCTGTTACATCTCAGAATAGTTTACCCTCCTGCTACATCGTTGCAGTAGTTGAAGACAACATCATCTTTTTCCTTTCTCATCAATCTCTATTAGTATTTCTCTGTATTTATTCTGAGACTACAGCTCCCAGAAGAGAGATGATGGAAAGTAAAGGGATAGACTGGCAGTGATCTGTTGTATTCAAGATCTATAATGGCCACATACTGAAACTATTTATACACAGATAAAGAGATAGGAGTAACCTTCAAATTTTTGGATACTGAAGATTATATTATTTTTCCAGTACTCTATCTTAGGTTCAGAATGGCAAAGAATATAGTAGAAGAGTACATTTCAGTCTACTATGTTTTGCTAGGTAAATATTTGCTAGAATACTGGAAATGAGACTAAGAGTGAACATTAACTTAGTCTCCACCTAGCAATTAAAGAATCATCCTATCAACACAATACAGAATGTGCCTAAGAAAAATCTTGTAACCATTTATATTAAATATTAAATCCTAGAACTTTCCCTCTTTTTCTAGGAAAAGTAAAACAAACTAGTGAAATCATGTGGCACAGGGAAAAGTAACATTGTCCTTATGACTCAGAGGAAGAAAACACCTACAAAGTTTTATTTAAGGAAACAGAAAGAAATTAGATAAAGCATTTTTCAATCTGTGGGAAAGAAATAGGAAGTCATAAGGCAAGAACACATTGAGGTAAAAGAGAGCTACCTAAGATAAATAAAGATAAGTTGCCAGAAAACTAAAAATGTAAAATCAGAAATAAAATCTAGTAGTATAATAGGTAAACAGCCGAACTAACAGTACAGAAAACCTCATCATTGATATATAGGTTAAACCCAAGAAGTTCTTCTAGTAGAAGAAAAAGAAACAGTTCTGAAGGAGAAGATAATACATTAAGGAATAGAAATGAAAATTCAATTTCACAAATTCCTGGGGTTGGGGATACTGAACAAATGGAAATCTAAAGGAAGAAAATTTATAACTTTAGTGAGATATATAAAAAAGATCTGAATGTAGTAAGAGGCATATAAATATTTTGGTTGTAAAGATGTGTAGAGCTTTCATATTGGGATGTGAGCTTCTTAAATCCATGTAAGTGGGTGTGTTGGTGTGTCTGGCAAGTCAAGAATATTTTCTCTATCATACCTTTGGATTCACATCTCTACACGTCTTTACAACCAAAACGTTGGTATGCCTCTTAGTACATTGAAATCTTTTTTTATATATCTCACTAAAGTTAAAATTTTTCTTCCTTTAGATTTCCATTTGTTCAGTATCCTCAACCCCAGGAATTTGTGAAATTGAATTTCCATTTCTATTCCTTAATGTATTATCTTCTCCTTAAGAACTGTTTCTTTTTCTTCTCTCTACTGGAAGAACTTCTTGGATTTAACCTAAGAAAAATCTGATGAAAACAGATTTGCACATAGACAGATGAAGGAAATACTTTACTGATTATAAGAATAAAGTTATCTAACCATTCTTTTTAGAATGATAAAGATGTTTTATCTTTATCACAAAAATGTTTATCATTCTAAAAAGAATGGTTAGATAACTAATACTAGGTACCACTTTAGTGGGTTACAATAAAATGTCAAAAGAGAAAAGAACTTGTAATGTCGATAGATTCTAAGAGGGAATTTGATATTTGATGCCCATATCTAGCCTAAAAACTAAAAACAAGTCTTAAAAAGTATGAGCATGTTTCCTTTACATAACCAGAGTATTTTTTTTAGAACCAAAGTATTTTGAACCAAGAACCAACATCATACTTCTAATGAAGCACTAGAGATAGTCTCTTAAAGAATAAGACAAAAGTATTTCCTACTTTGTTCTAGATGTTTTGAACAATGTAATAAGCAAAATGAAAGTAAAACAAGAAATGTAACTGTTGAAAAGATAATGCCATTTATTATTTGAACATAATATGAATATGTACACACAAGCTATAAAGTTTTGAGTGATTTGACCGAGGATGCAGAAGTTAAGAGAAAGGATATAATACATTGAGGGAAGGAGTACATGCAGCATATATTTTCCTAATTTTCTCATGTACTTTTTTTTCCTGTGTGAGGTAAGGGGAACCTTAGAATAGAAAAAGAAGCCAATTTCTTGATCTGCCTCTGCCGTCTCATACTGGACTTACACCTCCATTCCAGAAGAAAGTACACCAACAATCTATGTGCTTCTACCTAATAGAATGTTTATAGTCTCTTGGTTCTTGAAATAAATTTAACGTTAGCAAGACCACAATCTCCTTGGGGTTGAGGGAGAAAACACAGTCAGTGCCCAGGAATTCCCAAACAATATCTTTCTCTCCAATTCTGTAATGTCCTAGGAAGCTCATTTTCTACAAATATCTAAGAGAATATGACTACTTTGGAATGGTAAAAGATCTCAGAAAAATGACCAGATGCACAATAAATAGAAGAAATTCAAGGTTGTCTTGTGTACTGTCAATAATTATTTAGAAGATATTATGAGGGAAAAATTCCATTTACACTAGCAAAGTTGCTAGGTCTAATCTTAAGGAAAAGTATGGCTTTATAGGTACAATAACAGAATTTACTGTGAACAGAAAAGAACATGAATAAAAGGAGAGAGCATATTCTGGAAGGTAATAAAATACAATGTTATTTCTTCTGAAATTAATTTTTTTATTCAACTTTGCAAAAACAATCCCAGTGTTCATTTGGAAGAACAGATATATGAGAAAAAATAAAATTTCAAAACAGAATAAACCAGAAGGATGTGTCCCACCAGATGTAAAAAGTTAATGATAAAATTGCAGTAAGTAGAGCAGTATAGTACTGGCATGAGAATGACAGCCAGATCAGTAGGGAGGTAGTGTTAGATCCAAATCTAAGTGTATGTATAAAAGTAATGGATGATAAGGGATGCACAGACAATCAACAGAATGTCTAGGCTATTGCCTATGGGGAAATTAGCTACTTTGGAAAACTGAAGTTATACATAGACACAAATATTTTTGGTGTTCTCCTGTGTCCTGCCATTTTTTATATAATCGTGGAGGATAGCTTTAAGCAATATTCCTAGGACATTCCAAAGAATCCCCTCAATAGGATTAAACCACTGAAAAAGCTGAGGGAGAAGTCTGAGCTCTGACCCCAATTCTGCTTGTATCTTGTTGTGTGACCTTGAGTAGGTGATTTTATCATGTCATTTTTCTTAATTTTGTGATGAGAGATTTGAGTTTTTAAAAAATTTTCCATCCAAGTCTAAATTCTATGTTCTGAAGTATAATAGTATTAAATCTCACTGCCACATAGAACAACATCTACCTAGGGGATAGTAACATGAAATCTGGAGTCAGACTGCCTGGGTTCCAGCCCTGGTTCTAACACTTACTAGCTTTGTGATCTTAGGGAAATTTTTCATCATCTCTGTATTTCCAAGGGTAATGAGAGTACCTCATAGGCTTATTGTAAGAAATAAAGCAATGCATGTAAAGTGCATAAAACTATGCTGGGCATATAGTTGCTTGGTAATTTTTTTTTCCAGTTTGAGGTGCTGGCAGCATAATTTCCCCATCACCCACCCATCCACTCAAGCACAGTAAAATGGAGGTCTTTTGCCTGACTCTTTTGAAGGAGATTCGGATATACATTGGTAGGTGGGGAATTCTGTGGCTAGACAAAAACTCTAGATGAGTCTGGTCCTCTGTCCTTTCCTTTTATTCCCAATCCTAGAAACACTATCAAGGTCTTTGAAATAGAGCTCCCAAAACTCTACAGCAGGTGAGCAATATTAGGTGTCACGTTCAAGACTGATACATTCAGTGGGATAAAAAATTCTCTTTAAATTTTTTTGATAGTTAAACTTAGGTAAGCAGGATGAATTTGATTTTTTAAATGCATTTTAACTCTCAAATTCAGTTATATACCAACACTAATATATCCAGAAGTTGATGGAAGTCTAGTCAAAGTTGAATTTCTATTGAAGTGTTATTTCATTTTCCAGTTATGTTCTACTTAGTTTTAAAACAAACATATTCATAAATGGCTATGATCAGTTCTTTAATCATTTTCAATTGATCATAAGCCCTCTAAAAGCTCAAGGGCCCCAGTGCAAATTATCTGCTATTGTAATTTAGTTTTATTTACTGCCTTATTCTAGTTACTTCAGTAATTCAATAAGGTGTTTTCTTAAAAAACAAAGCTTGCCAAAAAATTTCTCCTAAAGTATAAAAAAAGTTATACAGGCCTTTAAGTAGCCAAGAAATAAGTTTTAAAAAAAGTTTCTCCATGTTAAATCCCATCTTTATTTTATTTCAACTGAAATTAAAGTTTAAATGCACTCATGGATGCTAATAAGAAGTCTTATTTGCATTAATCCTTTACCAAGCATTTTCTGCTTTTCCTGAAATACTGAGGCTGTCCTTACTGTGTCTTCACAGATTCAGGAAAGGAATGATGCTCTATGATGACCACTTGAAGGAAGGGATTATGTTTCATAGAGAATATTCCCACAGCCACAGTAAGCCTTGACCCCAAAAGTCATGGGAAATAGTAGGGACCTTCGCATTTATTGCTTGGCTTATCACAACAGATAATTCCATGTACTAGACTGAGAGTGGCAAAGTAGGCATATATATTTGGTATGAGAAAGAGACAATATGACTTTTCTAAACTGTAGGGGCAATAGAAAGAGAAATGGAGTTTTTATAGCTACTGGGGTTCTGGCCAGGGTAGCAATTTCCTGGACAATTTCATATGTAACATGAGATAAAGAATAGTACAGGAGTTTCATGTTCATATTGAGCAATCTGCCTATAAAGGTTTTCTCTAGCTTTCTCACTCTAATTGTCAAGATGATAATTAAACAGGTGCATAGGGGATTTTGATTATTTTTCACAAGATATCTTAATACTCCCTGAACAGTTTCCCTTAATAAGTTGGCAAAGTGAATATTACTTGAATACAACTAGAAACTCTGGATTAGAAGCCAGTAAATATGAAAAATGGGTATTTGCAGCTGTAAAATTAGATTAATTTATTTCTCCTATTTGTAGTCTTTATTTCTCAGCCTTGGAAAAAGGAACCTGTTATCTTCAGGAAATTGTTTTGTCTACTAGATCCTAATATTTATTTAAAATTAATTTCAGATTCTTTTAGTGACCACTATACTCACTTTGAAAGAGTTGTGAAGGCTCTTCTCATCAATGCTTTAGATGATTCTTTTCTGGGAACATTGTATGGTAAGTTTAATATGAATGGAAAAATCAGGGTTTTTTCCTTTTCCTAGTTTTTAAACCTCACTGTTATATATATACATTTTTTTTTCTTTAACAAAACCAAGGAGACCCATTCTTAAGAACCTTCAGTTGTTCCCTCTAGGATCAACAACACCAAAAGTCCATTCATTATCAAAAACTTGTTAGTGATTATTTTACATGGAAGGGACAAAGGAAATATGGTGGTCCCCTGTCTATAGCAAGTTCACAGTGAATTTGGGGAGTAGGACATACACTCATAAAGACAGCAGGGTAGTTCAGCGCCCTGTGTTACCCAGCCTCTCAGCTTGTATTACATGGAAAGTGATAATGGCATTTTATGCTTTTGTGCCTATGCTCATTCTGTTCTTAGAATACGGTCCCTTTCTACTCTAGATTTTCCAGGTGAATGTAAAATCATTTCCATCATGAAAGTGATCCATGACCTACCCAAGTAATACTTGTCACTCCCTCATTTGTGCTGTTATCCGAGAGTATGGTAGAACTGATGTGTATGCCCTTTCCATTCTGTAACTCTTCCAGGGTGTGAGAAGAACTATACCTTAAGTAGACACTTACCCTTGCATCTAGCACAGAATCTGGCACAGAACAAAGACTATAAACATGTGTTCAATATCTACCTTAGTGCCAAAATAAGTTTTATTCATAATTTATTGAACAAATATTTATTGTTTGCCTAAAGGCCAGGCATTATTTGAGGGCTTGGAATATGTTAATGACTTAACATAAGATTCCTGACCTCATGTTTTAAAGTCTAATGGGAGAGACAGACATTGAATGAATAAACAAATATATAACATAATGTAATATGTTTTCAACTAGTGATTAGTTCTAGGGGAAAGAAAATAGGGTAAGGAGATTAAAAGTGTAAAGGGAAGAAAGTCTGTTGGAATTGTCAAAGAAAGTATCTCAAGAGGTGATTGATATCTTGAGATTTTTTAACAGAAACTTGAATAAGTGAGCGAGCAAGTAATGCATGGATTTAGCAGAGAGCACAGCAAGTGCCAAGACCCTTAGGAAAGAGTAAGTTTGATGTGTTCAGTGAACAGTCAGAAGACCTATATGGCTCTTTCCTTTCCCTAATGCTCTGATGGAATTTTTAAATGTTTACTTCATTAAATTTTTAAAAAATTTAAAATGCTTTTAATGAATAAACCAAGTATCTTCCTAAAACTAAGGGAAAAAACCTTAAGTATTTACTAATTTAAATATTTCATAGGTCCAAGTGATTTTTTGTTGTTCCTCTGAACAGATGGTGCCAGGCAAAAATCTTACGCACAAGATATGTTGACATCTCTTCATTATTTAGATGACCGCTTTATTCAGCCTCGTCTAGAGAGTTTAGCCTCTAGAAGTCGTTGGAAAGAGCAGTATAAGGTATATATTTTTATTTATTTTTGAATCTCTGATATTGGGTAGGAGTGGAACACCTTTCAGGATTTTAGTATCCAGTTGGACTAGCATTTTTCTTTGTTACATAATGTTTGTTGTTTTTTACTTCTAAAGGATATTGTTTTAATCATTCACATTTATTGTATCTATCCAATAACTGAGTAGCTCTAAAGGATGAATAACTTTAAAACACCTCTAGGGCTTAACCCACCAACTAGAATGAGGATATTGTCTCACAGGATGTTAACTTGTTTCAGAAAAGAGAATTCCATTGTTAAAGAAGTTTGAGAAACAGTGGGTGTAATTTAAGCTTAACTAGAGGTCTTTTCAAGGAATATTAATGTGTGAAATTATACTGTAAGTCTTCAGGAGAGCTATGTAGAATGTAATACTTTCCAGGTTTGTGTTTTACGCTGACACTCCCTACTATGAAACACCTGTTATCACCTCTTAGGATAATTGATTTCCATAACATAATTGGGACAACACTGACCTAGATAGTCTTTGACATACCTCTCTACTTCAAGATTTTGTAATTCTACCAATTTGGGGGAAGCATTTTTTAAATTTATAAAATTTATTGAATTCTATGTTATCCTCTAGATTTCTAATTTATGACCTCTCATAGAGGCTGTACTATATGATTTTTAAGGATTTTTTTTTCTCCCTATTTTCTATTGATTAGCAGAAGGAAAAATGTCAAGATAATACAAGTTCAAGTTCCTTATAGTCCTTCTCGCACTTAAATCATTAGCTACGCAAAGAGATTTTGCTTCATCCAAAGCCTGTTCAGCCTTAATTACCTGATGATAAACTAGCCACAAATAGGTTAGGTTTAAGGGACAGTTACAGGACTACAGAAAAAGTTAGAAGACCTCAGGTTAGAGAGTTTAGGGCCACTGTAGATATATTTTTTGACTTTGGGTGAGTTTTTAACCTCTCTAAATTCCAATTTCATCCTCAGATTTAGAAAATATTTATTATACAGAGAAATACTTAATTTGAAGGAAAAATACATAGCTAAGCCCTTCGAACATGGTATAAATATTGTTTTATTTAATAGGAATAAAAGTAATGTACACTCATTGGTCATGTAATTTTACCAAGTAATTTACATGCAAAGTATCTTATTTTATTTTCAATGTAACCCCATGAGGAAGGCACTGTTATTTCCTCTGTTTTAAAGATGAAAAAACTGTGACTCATAAAAATTGAAGTAACATAAAGTTACACAACTAGTATTCGCCCAGGAATATATTTAAACCTATGTTTCTAGGGTTTCTCTGACTTACACCCATGCCACTATGCCATATGCTTTACCATCCTATGGTAGGTCATGCTGAATCGGAGTAAGCCAAGGTTGAAATGGTAACTAGATATAAGAAAATACTAGCTTAAAATTATAGAGACATAGATGATTCAGTATAATCTAGGTCAGGATAAGCTAGGTTATGCTGCAAAAAAACAAGTAACATAACAAACAAAATAAATCAACAATGACAATCTAAATAGCTTATCCCAACAAAGTTTATTTTTCATATGCCCAGTGTGAGTTTACAGGAGTACTCTGTTTATTGTAGCCACTGAGGAAACCAAGCTGATAAGAGCTTTCATATCAGCATGTTGCTTCTGCAAGGACCAAAGAAACACGAAGGAAGGTTGATTAGTCACCTCTTCACTCTGAATGTCAGCCTGTAGGTGACATGGGTCATTGGAATACCATGAAATATGAGAAATTAATTTAAGTAGACAAAAGTTGGTGTTGTGAATCATACAGTGTAAAAAGGAGACTATCAGTATATTGGATACTTTGTTACTGTCAGACTGATAGAGAATGGGAATGAGGATTTGTAACCCTACTAATAATGCTCATTGTGTGCTGTTCAAATATTTGTAGCAAAACCTAATCTACACTACTAATTAGAATAGTAGAACATAAGCAAAAATACTCAGATGTACGTTTCAGAGCTTTATGAAGCTTATTTATGAATGCCAAATATTTTCTCAGTTTGTAAAGTTGTTTAATACTTTAAGGATCATGTTCTATTACATAGATAAAAAATATTGCTGTATATTCACCATCTTTGCTGTCTAACTACTCATTGCTAACTCAGCTAATAGACTCTCCAAATCAATACTGGCCACCTAGCAATCCAAGTCCCAACTTATTTATTTGCATAGTACTTTAGTAAGTAACTATAGGAGGATTAAATTATTTCTGGACTATTTTGTGGAAAATATGATATAATTTACACAATGGACACTGAATGTGTTCTTGTTTTTCTTGGTTTTGACTAACCTAAATGAATTCATCTTTTTATAATATCCTGAATTTCTGCTGCACATTCTTTCCCATTTTTAACTAATACCTCATTAACACTAAAGATGAAAGGAGGTAAAAGAAGTAAATTAAAATCTGTGAAGAGTAGTGCTTATTAGTAACTCATAGGTTGGAAGGATATGAAACTAATTTTTTTTCCTAGCATGGTTTCTTTTCATTTAATAGCCTAAATTATAAATTAATCATTTTATTTTAAAAATATAATGTCCTACACCTACTGTGTGCTCAGTATTAAAGTAAGAAATACCAGAGTGTTTGCCCTTATAGCTCATCCTATTATTATGATTCCTAATTATGGTTTTAATTTGGTTAGGTTATTTTTATATTTTATTTTGTTGTTGTTTTCTAGTCCTTTAAAGCTTCATTACATTTTTTAATTCTTTTCAGGAGCGGGTAGGAAATTATTCTAATGTAAATATCCATTTGAAGAATCCTGAAAACTGTTCTTGTCAGGCTTGTGGAATGTACCGCCACTGTAGATATTCAGTGCATTTATCAGGAAAGTTGTATAATACCAGGACCATGGAAACAGATGATTTCATGTCACATGATAAACAGGTATTTTTTCCCTCTTATTTTAGTTTGCAGTATTTAGAAATTTTCAATCCATAAGCTTGAACAAATAACCCTGTTTTTTTGAATGTGAACTATATGTCTTATACAGCAGATTCACTCCTAATTCAGTCAGATACTAAAATCAGTGCATATTCTTTAAGTTATATTACCCAGACTAGTGGGAGGGCAGAGATATCAGGATAAAAAGGGAGATAACTGGGGCAGGGGAATCAGAAGTCCCATTTTAGACCAAAGGAGTCCATTTATTCACCCTAATAAGAGAATTGAAAGAAAACTGTTTCAACCTAGACTATAGCAGAAGTGTGCCAGATTTTAGAACACTCACCACATACTTAAGGTGTTGTTAATTTTGAATGAATAGACAAACTGAAGAAAATATTTGAAATATTTGAAGAAAGTATTTGGTAAACAAGAACAGAGCAGTACAATGTGGATAAAAAGTATAGATGTAGACTACTACTATGTTTTTGTAATCATTATAAAAGTTTCATTTATAAATGCAAAAATATTAATATTGAGAGTTTCCTCGATATTTGTGAAGGGTTTGTGTGTGTTTGGGGGGTGGGGGTGATAGTTAGAAACCCAAAGTTATCTCTAACTACTACCAGTTAAATGTTAAGGTAGAAATATACTACTATTTGAAATAAACTGTTCATTTGAATTCTACTAGATTGGGAAGTACGATTCCTTAGTACTATTAGGCAATAATTGATCAGATCCCTCTGAATATTCTCCGTTGCAAGAGTCAACTAGAAAGTTTACCTAGGGATCATGAATTCAGAATTAGTCTTTAATGTTTTACTTGGCAAGTTACTATAAAAACACATTTCTTTTCTCAACAGAGTCATATGCAACTTTCCCCACTACTTAAAAACTGATCTATGAACTTTTTATGAGTTAAGATATCTAGAATCCTAACAAAAGTCATTTAATACTTTAAGGATCATGTTCTATTATATAGATAAAAAATATTGCTGTATATTCACCATCTTTGCTGTCTACAGCTAAGCCTGGAGAGGGGAGCTAGAAGATCATTTCTGCAGTTCCAACATTCCTGTGAAGGAATATATATTCTATATAAAGTAGTAAATTCAAATACCTAAAAAATAAAAAAGAGCTCATGAAATAAAAGCAAAGAACACTAATACACCAGTCACATAATGGAAAAAATATAAAAGTAAAATATATTGGAAAATAACTATTCCCTATTTAAATGCATATAATTAAAACTACCTTAAGATGCTATTTGATAGCTCTTAAAATAGAAAAGTATTTTTAAAGCAAATGATAAAATGCAGTTCTGTCGAGGTTGCGTTGAAATGAGCAGTTTCGTGGATTCCTAGAGGAAGAAAGGATATGATACATCTTTTTAGAATATTAGATAGCTAGTAGCTACATGTACAGAGCTATACATATTCAGTGCCTATAAAGGTGTCCTAGGCAAAATAATTCAATAAAATAACAAAATCATGAAGTTCATTGAAGCATTATTTATAACTCAAAAAATTTGGAAATAATCCAAATAAAATATTAAGTAGTGATTTAAAAAGCCACGAATACCATCATTTTATGATAGAATATAATAAAACTACTAAAGTAATATTTATACATATTATGAACTAATGCTAGGTGGAAGTGAAATAAGCTATGCATATACTGTGCTTACATTGTCTAACAATGTGTGCATGTTTGTATGTATAGCTGTATGCAAACATTAAACTTACTGTATATATTAAGATAGTATGATTGAAATTCCTTAATAATTAATTTTTCAGTATCTTTTTCATTAAAGGGAAGAATTACTTGTTAAAATCTATTTTATGTCCTGAACTACAGTGTCAATGAATGTGTAGAAAGGTAGGGAGAAGGGACAGAAAAAAGAAAAGGAAAGGAGGAGAGAAACCCCTGTTTTCAATTCAAGGCATTAAAGAGACTGGCCTACTTCCATCCCCACCCTCAGCTTATTTTGAAAACTAATTCACCATTTTGTGTTGCTGCTTGTAGTTACATAAAATTGAGACTCCTTGAGGTTAACTAGGGTTCTCTTTTAAGGTGCAAATAATACTTTAAAAGAATGTACTTAGTGGATTTGTTTAATGATAAAACTTCTAAAACTTTTCTCCTCGCTTAACTGAGATTAGTTTCTTTGAAAGAAAGGATCCTTTGATGGAAAGTGGAACAAGTGAGAGAGAGTAATTTTACTTATAGCAGCTAGGGTATTGAGGTGAGAGGTCTTGGACTACCAGATCGTGGTGAAGTCTGAGAGCATAGATAAGAAGGAAATCATGTCAAAGAAAGATGTGAAATGTGAAAGGCAGTTGGAGGCAGTAATTTTGAGGCAAGTGACAATGTATATATTGTCCATGCAAAACACAGGCCAAGAAGAAATAGAATTCAATGGCTCGGTTTATTGCACTAAATGTTTCTAGAGACCTAGTAACTGAACACAAACTTCTCCCCATCCTTCTGTTTCCTAGAGGATCTGTCTTTTTTCTTCTTCATACTTTAATTCCATAAGGAGCTGGCTTCTCTGTATATAAGTGAAGGCCTTATACATCACTTTGTTCTACTGTGGTTTATCCAGAACAGCCATAGAATACTTCTACACAATTTACTTTTTTTTTAAATTTTTTATTAAGGCATGATTGATATACACTCTTACGAAGGTTTCACATGAAACAACAATGTGGTTACTACATTTACCGATATTATCAAGTCCCCACCCATACCCCAGTGCAGTCACTGTCCATCAGTGCAGCAAGTTGCCAGAGATCCACTATATTCCTTCTCTGTGCTACACTGTTTTCCCCATGATCCCCCACACCATGTGTACTAAACATAATACCCCTCCGTCCCCTTTTCCCTCCCTCCCCACCCGCCCTTCCACACCCCTCCCCTTTGGTAACCACTAGTTCATTCTTGGAGTCTCTGAGTCTGCTGCCATTTTGTTCCTTCAGTTTTGCTTCATTGTTATACTCCACAAATGAGGGAAATCATTTGGCATTTGTCTTTCTCCACCTGGCTTATTTCACTGAGCATAATGTCCTTCATCTCCATGCATGTTGTTGTAAATGGTAGGATTTGTTTCTTTCTTATGGCTGAATAGTATTCCATTGTATATATGTACCACATCTTCCTTATCCATTCATCTACTGATGGACACTTAGGTTGCTTCCATATCTTGGCTATTGTAAAAAGTGCTGCGATGGGTGACAAGTAGTGATTTTACAGCATCTTACTATGATGATGGACAGTGACTGTGAACGGGGATGTGGGGGGGACTTGGTGAAGGGGGGAGCCTAGTAAACATAATATCCTTCATGTAATTGTAGATTAATGATACCAAAATTAAAAAAAAAGTTCTGCAATGAATATAGGGGTGCATATGTCTTTTTGAATCTGAGAAGTTGTATTCTTTGGGTGTATTCCAAGGAGTGGGATTCCAGGGTCAAATGGTATTTCTATTTTTAGTTTTTTGAGGACTCTTCATATTGCTTTCCACAATGGTTGAACTAGCTTACATTCCCACCAGCAGCTACACAGTCTACTTTGATGGCAGAAATAGAGAAACAGGGTAGCTTTAGTGGCCTGTTGTCATGTCATTTTACCCAAAGGGGAGGTATGGGCAAGTGAATTATTACAATTGATATGACTGCTTTGATGATAATATTAAACTGGAAAGTAAGCAAACAATGTACAGTAATACCTGATTGTTTCTAATGATCTAAAAAACACAGATTTTCCCAGAATGTGAACAGAAATCTGATTTTGCTTTCTTCAGGGGGGATTTTAAGCCTGTAAGATATCCCAAATATCATCTTCATAATATGACATATCAAACCTAGTGCCAATCATTATATTTAATTTTTATTCATTTTGGCCAATATACCATTCATTTTATTTATTTTTGCCAATATACTCTTGGGTTATTTATTGAACTTACCACCTGTGTGATACCTTGCAGTGTAGCTTCAGAAAATAGTACAATTCTTTGTCATAATACAAGTTAGCAGATCAATATTATAACTATACCACTTGTCCTAAACTCAAGAGAGTAAAATCCATAAGTGAATTTAGGTGCAGAGACAAATACATAAGTTAACAAGAAGATTGTCTATTTTCTCAGGTTACTCCCTGAGAATAATACTGATCATGTTTCTGATCAATGATGCATTTACTACAATGAATGAAATAATGTAGGTAGAATTTAAATTCAATTTAGTGCAGTGAGTTTTCCTATTTTAGCTGTAGGTGTGTATAACAAACTGTACATTTAGAACATTCTGACAAATGTTCTTGTCAGTTGATTTCACAAGAAGAGTATTCTTAATCAGAATCCTAGAAGTCCATATAAACACAGAAATGAAATTCTTATATTTTGCTAATAATAAAATATTACTGCTATAATCTCATCAGATTCATTAATTAAGGAAGCAAATATGACTAAACACAGTTATTTTTTACTTTACAAAATTTTTTGGAAAAAAGTGTTGAGTAAAAAACTGCCAATATTCAGTATTGGTATAAGAGTTTGTTTCAATTTTATATGTAGCTTATAAGCTAGAAAATAATCATTATATAGGCACTTTTTTTTTTAGTTAGAAATTTTTCATTTAATCGAAAGTCAGTTTATAATTTTATGCCTTGATATCCTGATCCCAAATTTTTAAAAATTTTACTTTATTTTGGTATCATTAATGTACAATTAGTTGAACAACATTATGGTTACTAGACTCCCCCTCTTATCAAGTCCCCCCCACATACCCCATTACAGTTACTGTCCATCAGTATAGTAAGATGCTGTAGAATCATTACTTGTCTTCTCTGTATATACTGTATATAGGCACTTTTAATTCAGTAACTGTGTATACAATAGCTTGCATGCTTTTCTTGCTTTCAGATGTACCTGCTCTTCTGTCCTCTGTACCTTGATAGCATCTCATTCATAGCACTTGACATTGTTTCGTAATGATTTGTCTTTTCTCCCAAAACTATAAGCTTCCCTAATACAGTTAGTACATCTTTCACTTATGTATCTCCAGTGCTTAGCCCAAGACTTGAAACATAGCAGGTGCTTAGTTTTTGTTAACTGGGTTGAACAAATAAGAGAAGGTAAAGGAATCATTGTATAAACATTTTAAAAATTAATAATGCATTGATTAGATTCTACTATTAAAGAAAATAAACCAAAAAAGCTCTGTATTAATTACTATATTCACTTCATACTGCTGTCACATAATAATGCTTATTTCTTGATTTAGGTGTTTACTGTTGGCAGAATTTGTGCTAATCGTACCAGAATTTATCATAAACTGAAACATTTTAAATTCAAGCTCTACCAAGAATGTTGTTCCATTGCAAAGACAGAAGAAGTTGAGAATGAACAGGTTAAAGAAACAGTGGAAAGAATTTTCAGTCAGTCAAAAGAAAGTGGCTGGATTAAGGAGGTGAGGTGAATATAGAACCATTGCATTCAGTAGGTTCTGGAGACTATTACTGGCTGAAGGATACAAATGATTAGAAGATGAAGAAATTTAAAAGAGAATCTCTCCTTCTCTCCCTGTCTTGGTATTTTCTCTTCTTCCACCCATTCCTTTCATGCTTATCATTGTCCTACCCTGAATAGATACACTGATGATCTAAGCATTCATTCAGCTCATCAGATAAATTTTAATCAGCAGTAATACTGTCCCTTAATTAAGGACCTCTGTCCTTTCACTTTTATATATGTGGTATTCCTTACATGTATATTAAGTCCCCTTATTTTCTTCAACAAAGTACAGGACTCAGCTCTGCTTGTCTGCTTCCTGTTCTTTAGAACAGTTCTTGTGACCTGAGAGTGAAGAAGCACCTAGTGCCAATCTGAGGAAAGGATCTCGGCTGTCAGTTCTAATACTACCCACATCCTCTTCTTGAGGACATGGGACTGAGCAGTGAGCACTGTAACTGAAGATCAAGGGGAATGCAGAGGTTTCAGGCCACAGCACTGATTTTGGTTCCCCCATATCCTGTTGACCATTAAATTTGATATCAGGGATAAAGTGGGGTTTTGAAGAGTGCACTGGATTCCTGAAGATCTGCTGGCAGCTCATAAGCTCTGGTCTGCTCACAGAGCTTTTAGAATTGTCTATGGTACATGGAAAGAATGCTGATATGATCGCAGTCTTCTAAAACAGTTCTAATTGCGTGAATGTGTAAGAGAGAACATTTAGTAGATTTTCAGGCAACTCAGATCAACAGTATATTTAATTTTTTAAAAAAGCCTGACTTGAGATCCATTTCCTGGATTATTTATATCTTAGGGGAATTTGTAAAAGAAGAAAATGAGACAGCTTAGAAAATTAACTTATGAGCAAAGGGAAAGAAAAAGAGAACAAAACAGGAACTTGTTAGAACATGTCATATTCTGCAGAGGTCTCCCTGTTTGGAGAGTGACACACCAAGATTGGTCTCTCTTTTGGCAATTTACCCCCTACCACAAACCACCACCCAGTCAGTAATCTCTTTGTTTGTCCCCCACATATTGAACCATAAGTTGTCTTTCTCTCTCATTTTCCTCTCTTCAGCTTTTTATCTTTTGCTTTGCTGCTAACATCTCACTCTCAACACTTGGCTCCCTGTTCTCTGTGCTATTCTGTCTGCCTCAGGGAGGAGCCATCACTTATCCAGTAAGTTCCATCTTCATTTTCCTAGAGTACATTTGATTCTTAAGCACTTTTATTAGTGCATTTAAGTATTGCCAACCTCCTAGTGGAGATGAAAGACCTATTGGGATACCACGTTTTTAAAAAATTGTGTACTAGGTGTAGAAAAAAATTGTGTATGTGCTTTATATATTTGTGTGTGTGTGTGTGTATCTGTGTATATACACACTTAAACTTCTTGCAGAAAAAACTAAAAGCATTTCCAAACATTAGAGGAAGCTTAACAAAGTTTGTGACTACAGAAGGGACTAGAATAAGAAAAAATATTCTTAGGAAAAGCCACGTATCATATAGAACTTTAAGAATAACAGCATTGGGCAGTGAAGGTATTTCAAGATGGTGCATGTTTAGAACAAATGCACATTTTTTCACATAAAACACCAAAGAGCCTCATTTTCTTTTTGAGATCCCGCTTACTTTAAAAATAATTTGTGCATAGATTTTCTTAAAAAGATTTCCTAGAAATTAAAGAAATCCCCTAGGCAGCCTTTTGTGCTGTGATTAAATTTCAGATTTTATCAAGTGTGCTGCCATTTCTCAACATCACTTTGCCTGCTCTTCAGCGTGCATGCATCTCTGAGTGAGAGCATGTGTTTTTGTGATGCATGCCCCCCTCCTTTGGCAGCAGTCTCGTGACCACGGTTACTCCAGCCCGTGACAATGCCGGGCTTAGTGCTACATGAATGGCCATATCCATAGCTCTTTCTCCTCTTACTTCCCAATTATTATGTCAACCCTTTTTACCTAACAAAATATTTGTTCCCATATTGTCCTTTCCCAGCTTTGTTTCACAGCTTGCTTTTTCCCTGACCTGCCTTTCTTCCTCCAAGCATTTTTCTTAGATTTTCTCTGGATATCTCAATCTTTCATTCCCAAAGACCTGCCAACTAGACTGACTTCATTCTTCTTATTCTTCCTAACAGTTGAATTAAAGGGGTAGGAGCAAATTTGAGTGTAAGAAAAGAATGAATGATAAATTATAATAAAACCAAAATATATAATAAATAATAGCAATATATGTCTCATTCTAAATCAGAGGTGAAGACCATACTATCATATGCCACTGGCAAATTCTAACAATTGTTTTTTCATTAAGAAGAAAGTGTGCATATGATGATGAAGTGATTATGATGGGAAGCTGAAAATAGGATTATTGGGGTGAGGTGGTGAATACATGAACACCAGGAAGTGAAGAAAGTATGTTAATAAAAGTATCAAGTTTATTTTATAGTAGTATTTTAAATAAATTTTAAATCTATCCCATAAAGACTGTTATATAAATAAGACTTTTAAATTATTGAATATCCCACCCCTTTCTGAATCTCTTCTCACTTTGTCCCTTTTCTTTTTCCCTTTTTATTTTTTCCTTTTCCTTTTCTTCCACTCCTTAAACTGATTTATCTCAAAACATGGCCCTAAACTACCTATGCCAAAATCACCTAGAAGTCTGTGAAAAACGTGTTGTCTTTTGTCTATTGAATGATAATCCTTGGGCATGTTAAACACCCAATATTTTAAAAACTTAGGTGATTCTTAAGTAAATAAAAGATTGAGGACCACTGCTTAAAGTGCATATGTACTAGGTTTTGTTCTCAGCCTCTCTAAGTTTTCTCCTTTGGCAGACCCATTCCTTTCTTCAGGCCCAACGCTTCTTCTGTGTAGAAGACTCCAAATTCCTTTTACGTTCTGACCTCTTTCTCATAATCTGTTCCCATGATTCTAGCTGTTTTCATCAATAAGTCCATCTAGCACTCTAAGGGGTTGACATAATAAGACCCATAATAAGTTTGGAAGCAGAATATTTCGGTGGAGAGATGGCCAGATAATATTTACTGTCTTCTTTCTGAGTGTCATTTTCCCTTTAGAGGTTTTTCTTGTTTCTCATGAAAACTGCACCCTGCCTCTGCCCTTTAAATGTCAGAGCGCACTATAATGGCTGCAAGTGTGGATTTAAGTATTTTCTAGCAGTATAATTTGGGGGCAAGTTATTTTATTTTGCTAAGCCTAAGTAAAATAGGAACTAAATAATAATAATTAGGGTTTTGATTGTGGTGGTTAGTCACACATTTTAAGCATTTAGTATAGGAACTAGCAATTAGTAAATGATCAATTAATGTTAACTATCACTAGTAATAAAAGCAAAGAAAGGTTTTCCTTCCTTTTCTTAGTACAGCTGAGATAGACTGTAATTTTCCTAAAAGAAATTTAATTAAAGAAAAAAGAATGTAAAGAAAGATAATACAAAAGGCATAAAAAAAGTCAAACTTCTATAGTATAGATTTCTAATTCTCAACTACTTATATCTAATAGAACCTGAGTACTAGGTCAAGAGAATCCCTAAGTAATCCAAAGGTTATTTCCCCTCCTGTTCTTTCCTTTGTTCTTTCCAGAGGTGATGATCTAGACAGAGATGTTTGGGAAGGGGTTAGGGTTCCATGGCCCTGTCTAGAAGGAAAATGCGCTCCTCAAATACCCTTGCTTAGGTCCCCATCTCCACAAAAGTTAGTCATCAGGATCTTCTCTCACACCACTGGGAGTAGAACCAGAGTTCCTAAGTAGGGTTAGAAACTATTAGGTCAGTTAATCTCAGCTGAGGTAAGCACTTCACACTCTTACCAACCTTGAAATCTCCAAATCTTCCTGACTCCTTTCATCCGTCTGATCCAGGTCTCTACTTTCCATCCTCATTACCATCACTCAAGTTTGGGCCCTCATCATCTAATATTATTACAATAGACTTGAAACTATTCTAGAATGGATATTTTTCCATTTTTCTTAAAATATACCTCAGATTATGTCAATCTCCGACTGACACCTTTAGGAGCTTTCCATTGCCTATCACATTATTGCTAAACTCCTTAACTGAGCATTTCATACTTTTTATTCTCTGATTTCAGACTCTCTAGGTCAGTCTTATCTTTCTCTATTCTCCTAAAAATAACCTCAGATCATAGTCAAATCCCACACTTTCTTGTCTTGTCCCTGTTTTATGGACTGTTGTCTTCTACGGAAAATTCCCTCCCCCAAATCTTTGCCTACCAAATCTCTTTTCCCAGGACAGTTTAAATGCTGTATTTTCCTGGTCACCTTGACTAATCATGACATCTCTTCCAAACCCTCATAACAGTGTCTGCATAGTGCTTGTTATTAGTTGCCATTCGTGTATCACTGCTGAACTCTGTTCTCCTTAGGGGCAGGGAAAGCAATTGTTTTGTATCTAGACAGTCATTAGCAAAGTATTTGACATATGTTATGTGTTCAACAAATTTTTGTTGAATAACTTATTGAAGAAGTGATACTTCTATAAATATGATAATAGAAAATTATATAAGAAAGTTATGAAATTAATGTTTGGTTTGATCTCTTTCAAATGCTTTATATGAGTTAGAAATGTTTACTTGAAATTGAGTCCCTATTTGTAAATAAAAAGGTTTTCATTTTGCAATTACTATGAAATGAACTTATTCCTGTTTGTTGTAGATTGAAAAGGCCTAGCTTATCTTCATTGATTTAAGTAAAATAACTAGTGTTTTTATTGTATACACAGAAATATGGTCAACTTCAAGAATATCTCAATTTTGCGGATTACTTTCAAGATGAGAAGTTTGACTGAATAGTAACACATTTCCTTCAGAGAAGATTTTATAAATTCTTGTAAATGTGAAGATCATGAGTCTTGTTTCTCTGTATCATGTGACATTTATATATTTTTATGTATATCTTCATGGCAAAATATCGTGTTTAAAACATATGTTCATCTTAATGTCCATGAAATGCACTCTCCTGTCTAATAAAGCTTTTATCTACTATGTATAGAAAACATAAGCTTAATAATATTAGAAATTTTTGAATTTTAGAATTTAAGTTTTTAAATTTTAGAATTTAAGAAAATGTAGTTATGTAACAATGCCTTTATAACAGATGACTATCAAGTGAATAAGCTATTCATGTCCTGTCAGTTAAGTAGAAAAATACTGTATTTTAAAAATATATTTAAACTAACATTTATGTGTACTTATTGTTGAAACCCTGCCCAGATCTGTTTATTACCCTTTTGCATTATTAAGTAATCTTCACTAGTATATTTTTTACTAATATCAAAAATCTGAATCAGTGGGTCATGGAAGAAACCTCTGTTTCACTGAGTTCAATCCCCTTGCCTCAGAAACAGACTACAGTTTACCCATTAGATGTAGAGAAATGTTCTTTTTCCTTTTCCAGTTTCCCTTAGAAATAAATTTCAGGCCTCCAGAGTCTTTTCAACCTTCATATTCAAGAATGACTTCATGATATGTACCTTTATGCTTCATAATTATCTTTCTTTTTTCTATTGAATTTTGTCTTCATGTTAATAATTAAGATGTATTTTTCTTTTTTATCCATAACTTTTCACATGTAAGTATTTATGTTAGGATCAAAAGATCTCAGAGAGATAAATTCTGCCAAAAATAGTTTTAAACCATATTATAGCATCTGCATTGCTTTGTACATCTAAATTTTCTCAAAATGAAGTAAAATGGTTTTATAGTGAACCATTGACACGGTCTATCCTATATCTTTAATTCTTAGTAGTAGTATTCTAGTAGGATCTATTTTACTGTGGAATTTTAGATATTTGTTTCTTATTTCAAACTTTGGTTGAACCTACTGCTTCATCTATTAAGTGGTTCATGGTATGGACTTCAGTTTATGTACATACATAAAAAAGATACATTTTATTAAGTTCTTACATAGAGATTACTTAACATTTTCTGCAGTTATCCCTATTTTAAGCAAAATGGGTAGAAAAAGCTTAAAAAATGGTGAGAATACCAGTGCTGATTGTTGTAGGATAGATAGATGTGGGATAGACAGTGTCAGTGGTTCACTATAAAACCATTTTACTTACTCTCACGTGAGGAATGCATACCTTTTTCAAGAGTGTGAAATAGAAATTTCAGTCACATGTCTTTATTATTATTATTGTTTTCTGTCACATGGAAATAATCCTTAAGTGAATGAAGCCATACTTGAAAATTGAAGATGAAGTGACAGTGTCCAAAAAGAAGCAAAGGAGAACTAGAGGAAAAGTGATAGGTTAGAAGGGTAAAGGATCACATATGACTTGTAAAAAGGAAGGCCAAGGAAAATGAGAGAGGAAGATCTCCACAGTATCCATGATGACCCTGGAAGCATCGCTTCTCGTAACTGACGCTACAGATAAGCTTGAGCCTGCTGGAGAGGGGGAGCTCCTTCCAAATGCGGAGTTTTTAAAATGGATTTATCTTTGTCTTTAATAGCATGCATTTAATTTGTAAAAATTAAGGCACTAATGATTCCAGGGACTTATGATGGCAGCTGACCCAGTTCCTAGGTCAGGCATTTTGTTGGTTTGAAGCATTTTTCCTGTTAGAACAGCATTTTGACTGTTCTACTGAACATTAGGAAATGTAATATGTTGTTTTGCTAATCTGAAGACACTACAACCGGGCATTCATCAGTGGGTGGTGAAAAGAAGAGGCATTATAGGTACATGATAACACTAAAAGAATGGCAAAGAGGCTGTTGGGAAATAAGAATTAGCATGGATCAGGGGTCCAAAGGCAACTAGTCCATAAGAAAAAAGAACTGTTGAAAAAAATAGAATTAACCTTTACAAGCATTAAGACATACTGCATTATTTTAGCACCATCATCATTAATATCATTGATTTAACACTAAAAGGAAATTGTAAACTTATAAATCTAACATGTCTATGTACTTTTTAGATGTGGGCATTTATTACTATAGTGTTAGGTGCTTCAGTATTAGGTAGCTAGGGATAGAAATGATGAGGAAGACAGAAATGGACAAGTAAATGCTTGAAAGAATGCATAGGGCTATACTGAAGCTTTAGGGTTGTAAGAGAGGAAACAGTTACATAAGGGGAAATATGTTAATTTTACTGGCAGTTGGATGTAATTGAGCATATTTTCCTCACTTGTCTGCTCTCGTATTCATATGAGGAGTTCTATTACTACTCATTTCTTGGAAGTATTATAGGACTTGCTTAGACTCCAGCACGTTGATTAAGTTGTAATTGCAGCCCTTGAGCTGTTTGGGGAATAGCCTGGCTTCCGTATATCTGTTTTTCACACTTGTTATTGAGGCAGTAAGCCCCATGGTTAAGAAAGCATAGGTTTGAAATCAGTCTTGAGTTTGAGTTCTGGTCTGTTATTCCCAGTTACATGAACTGGAACAAGTAGTTTCAATGAGCCTCAGTTTCCTAATTTATGTATGGGGTTAATAATACCTGTAACTCAGGATTGTTTGTGGATTTAGGGAGATATGTTTGAAGTGCTGTGCCTGAAACTGATTGTAAATAAGCAGTAACTGATGTGAATAGGAATGAGGATGTGTATGATAATGATGTCAGCTTGAAATTAAATAGTTGGTGAGGGTAAATGTGTGCAAAATACACTGAATATAGTATGTAATTACACTGAATTCCTGTTTGACAAGTTTGTAAGGTGAGTCCTGTCTAGCATAGAAGTCAGTTTATATCAATTGGGAATAGGATTCTGATTAAAAGCCCATGCTATTTCAAGACTATAGAGAAAAAGAAAGTAGTACATTTAAATGTTACATTTTTTTCTCTTTTCAGATATGACTGCTGAATATAAGTACCTGTAGTACCAGAAAGAAAACAAGGTCTAATGGATGCATTTAAAACCTAAAATATAAAACTCCCATTTTTTAATGACACCTCACGAAAGAGTTCTCCATTCAAATTTGCATTGATAACAAAAATATATTTCCACCTTTCTCCGCAGAAGTGGTGAGGAACTTAATCTTGGAAGGGACAGAAAGAAGTATCTTCCAATAAAGAGTAAAAAAAGTTACATTCTGTCAGGGTATACCTTTCCCCAAGTCCAAACTAACATTCCTAGATTTATAAAAACAAAATGGACTATAGTAGGCCAGCCTATTGGGCACTAAATGATAAATACTTTTAATTATTTTTAAAAAATGTTTAAATGTTTGCATTGATTTTACCCATTCATTTCTATCCTGAGCTCAGTTGAGATAGATGCCAGAGGTGGTTTAAATTAACAAAGCCCTGTTGCTTGAGACCTCGAACCTAAATAACTTCCAAGTCAGGATACGGCAACTTTATGGTCCTGACCATGCCAATACTGTGCTCACATTGATTCATTCTCCACAATTGATGATGACAAGCAGAATCCAGTACTGAGTTTGAGATCTTACAGGTAAGATCATCTGAAGAGGGGACAAGTCTGTACAGGTAAGAGATCTGTTTGGTCTGCGTTGTTAAACTCCAGGAGTTTACATGATGTTTTCCGCATTATATATGTAAGCCAGATAGCTATGGAGACCTCAGGTCTTGGATTTGGATTGTCACAGGCAAACTAGTATTTTCAAAGAAAAGCCTTTTTTTTCTTGAGCTGGCATTGGTAATTTCCTCATAAATATTTTATCCCTACTCGTTTGCTTGCGCCCACCCAGGTCGACTTACCCAGAGACGCGCGGGACAGGCCGGCGGCGGGCGGGCAGACGCCCCTCGGGAGCCCGCCCCGCCGCCCCACACCCTCTCCGTCGCGCCAGGGGACGCGTCCTGGGGGGCGCTCGGCGGCATCGTCCACGACGCGCCGGAGGAGGAAGACGATAGCTTCAGGGGGCGCGTTGTAGTTCTGAGAGGGGAAACACACCCCTGGCCGGGAATTCCTTGAACCTCTAGAGCGGGCGCCGCGACCGAGGAGAGAGGCTGGGGATTCCCCGGCCTCCCCGCTCCGCGGCCCGAGGCTGAGGTGCGCGAGCGCCGCGAGGGGGCCCCGCGGGCTCTGGGATTCGCCTCTCCGGCCGCTGGGCGGCTCTCCGCGCTCCGCTCTCCCGAGCCGCCGCCCCTCCCGCCCGCAGCCCGCCGGCGCGCTCCCCGCCCCTCTCCCTCTCCCGTCGGAGCACAATGCGAGCCTGTGCGCCGCCGCGACTCCGAGCAGTGGGGCCGCTGTCAGCAGAGCGGCTAGCGACGCACGGGAGAGAGAAAGGAAATAGCAGCCACTTTCTTTCCCATCTGTAAGGCGCAGCGGCACGAGGGCGAGCCCGCCGCTCACCGCGAGCCGGGACTCCCAGGCCCCCGGGCCGGGCATGGAGCGCGCGGAAGCGGCCGGACACGCCTCGGCGCGGCTCGCGGGGAGTTTGTGAGTCGGACCATCGTTCGTGAGTCGCTCTCGGCAGAGTTCGTCTCTCTCGGTACCGTTTCAGACTGGAGCCGGGGCCGAGGACTAGGGGCGTCAGCGGGAGAGAAGAAAGCGTGCTGAAGGACCGCGCTCGGCGGCTGCTGGCCTCAGAGCGCTTTCCTCTGGGCCGGAGACCCCGGGGAAGGAGGACCTCACCGGCGGCCGGGCCGGCCGAGGAGGGAAGCGCGGTCCCCAAGTCGGCGGCTGACATCGGCAGCGGCTGTAAAGCCGTCTCCCGCTTTTGGGAAAAGACAGCAGCCAACATCCCGCAGCACCCCGCAGAGGAGAGAACACCGGGGCAGAGGGGAAGGGAGGAGAGATTAAAGGCCAAGAGACAGGTCTCGGTTTTTGTACATTTTGAATATTGACTTCAAAAATCTACTGAAATAGCACTTTTTTTTTTCTTCGCCCGAGGAAAAGTGAAGGCTGCGAGTTGCATAGGTCACAGCAGAAATGTATTTCTCTGCAGAAACATACCCATAAAGAATTTCCCGACACAACGCGGCGAGGGGGAGCGCGGCGCCCCGCCAGCACCTCTCAGCCCCCTTTGCCGCTCGCCTCCGTCTCCGGCCAGGCGAGCCCTGGGCCCCTGCCGCGACCCCCGGGTCGTGCGCTCACAGGGCGCCCGGTGGCTCCCGTGCGCTCGGCGCGGGGAGCCCGCAACTCCGTCCAACTTCTCCAGAGCTGTCAAGCGCCGTCAGAGTGAGTCGGTCAGAGTCTGTCTCCGGCTGATCTGGGGCGCCGGCCTCTGCCCGTCCTCCTCGCCCTCCTTCGCGGACTCCCTCCCCCGCGCCTGCCCCGCGCCCCCGGCTGCCGAGGACCTCCCTCCATGCGGCCCTGAGCGCCGAACTCCCAGTGCCAGGAGCGGACGCCCGCCCCGCCTCCGCCAGCCCCGGACCCCGGGGGCAGAGAGTCGAGCCCCGCGGGATGGGGGACACCGCGCCCCCGCAGGCCCCCGCAGGGCTGGGAGGGACCGCCGGGCCGGGGCTCCTCGGGGGGGGCCCGGTCGCCCCCAGAGTGCACAGCGCCATCGTGGAGCGCCTGCGGGCTCGGATCGCCGTCTGCCGCCAGCACCACCTGAGCTGCGAGGGCCGCTACGAGCGCGGCCGGGCGGAGAGCTCGGACCGGGAGAGGGAGAGCACCCTGCAGCTCCTGAGCCTGGTGCAGCACGGCCAGGGGGCGAGGAGGGCCGGCAAGCATGCCAAGGCCGCGGCCTCGGCGGCCCCCTCGGCGCCCGCCCCGCCCGCCGTGCCCCCGCCCGCCGCCTCCCAGGCAGCGGCGACCCCCGCCCCGCCGGACTATCCCCGCCGCCGGGAGCACCTGCTGGGCAGCGGCGGCCACGGGGGCGGCGGGGGCACGGACCGGGAGCAGCCGCCGGCCTCGGCCCCTGCGGACCAGAGGAACTCAGCGCTGATTGCGGTAAGGCGCCTGGTTTTCTCCGCTTCAGGCGGTGGCCGTGTGGCCTTCTCTGAGCGTGGAGCGTGCCGTGGCCTCATGGAGAGTGGACGGCAGTGAAAGGGGCCACGATGTCACCTGACTACCGCACAGGCCGTTGGGTGTGCTGTTTGTGTGGTTTTATATTCTTACTCGTCAAGTTCCGCCGGTGCTCGCTCATTCATGGCTTGTTCTCCACTTGCGCGATCTTCCCTAAGTAGGAAGAAGCCAGAGTTTTCAGAGACTCTGGGGTCCCCGGCTCGCAGAAGGCCTGAGCCACGGAGGAAGGCCTCGGCTCAGGGATCCTTTGCCTTGGCCCACACTCTCTGATCGGGCCCCACTAGCTGTTCTGCAGCCTGAAAGCGTTTGATCAGTCCAGCTGACCTTTATCAAAACCTTTCCTTCTTGTCCCATTTCCCCTGCCCTGTTTCAAGTGGCCGCTTCTCCTCGGGTTAAGAGAACATAAGTGGCAATCCCTAACACAGAGAAGTTCCTTGAGTACCTCCTTAAATTGAGGGAAATGCCCCAGAGACTAACTAGCCAGGGAAAAATTTCAAGAGTCCTTCCTGCCGATTACCTATAGACCTCCCCCTTTCCCCCTCCCCTAGCTGCTTTCCGCAGGCAGTGCCATCAGGTACTGCCCACTCGCAGTTCCCTCCAGTGGCCAGGCGCACAGGGGCTATTTACATGCTGTCATCCTAGGAAGTACCTTATCTTCAGCCACCCCTGATGACAGAACATCAAGCCTGAAAGTTCTGATTAAATTTTTGGCTGAAGTTCATCCTCAAAGGCACAGGCACATCCCATGCCTGAGGGAGTATCCCTCAAATCATTGGCTCTTAGTGCCAGTCCTGGTCAGGTGACTGCCTGCTGTGCACTGGCTTCCCCCAAAGCTGCTGGGCCAGTGGCTTCTAGGTGGAAGGTGGAGCCCTGCCCTGCAGTCTTACAGGCTTCCTCCATTTCTGAGTTCTGCAGGTCTTCTAATGTCCTGTGTCTGCTCACAGCCCAGCTCCAGTTTGCCTGAGCCAGCCGCAAGGAAAGTCAGCAACAGGAAATGGCATGCAAGCTTAAAAATACTCACAAAGCTCAGAGGAGAAGAGGGCATTGCGGTGAACTCCTTTTCCAAAGAAGCTTGAAAAGGAGGTCTAGGGAGAGGCCAGCCTCCAGGCAGGCCTCTAGGATGCTTCTCTGTCACTCTGCCTTATCGTTGACCTGAGTCTGTGTTGATGAAATTTCTGGAAACTCTGGGGGCTAGGATGATGCTCACCTCCCCCACCACACACACATTTTTCTTGGGATGCCTAGAACTGCAGTTTCCTGGCGCCAAGTCCGGATGAAAAAATAACTGCTAACAGTTAAATTGCCCTGTGTTTGCTGTAGTAGCCGTGAATACAATTAGCCCGTGTGGTCATATTAGAGCTTCCAGGCCTGATTTCCTTTCTCTACCACCTGCTCTATCCCTACCTCTCCCTGGAAGTCTCTCGGAGAGCAGTGAGGGTTTGTTCTGTGAGAGAGAGGTGCTGAGGTGAAGGAGGGGGAGAGAGTTATTCAAATGGAGAGAAGAATGAGGTTTGTAAGGATGTGCGTGTTACTAGCATCTGCAGCCAAAAGCATCTAAATGCCTTGATTGTCCCCAGTAAATTTATAATCTGTCTGCACATCTCCCAATAATACAGCTTTGTGTGCTTCACAGTCTCCTGGTAAGTGTTTCAGAGATGATACAGGGAATGAGGCGCCCAACCCTTCTCAGTGAAGACTGATCTCTGTCCTGGGTGCCAAGACTGGATGTGACCTTCACATCCTGGCCTCTTCAAGGAAGGTGGCACAGAGCCACCTTCCTTAGGGCCTTGTTCCTTTGGTTTTTGCTTTTCTCTAACTTGGGAGTAAGATGAAGCTGCCTCTTTTTCACGGGGGCTCTGGGGTGCGAATGAAACCAGCTTCAGAGGCAGCTGTGACTTGACAACAAGCCGTGTCCGTGGGGAAGGAAGTGAGGGAACAGAGTCTGCCCTTTCCTGACTCATGGTTTACCACTGCTGACGCCAAGGGTGGCTGCTGTACCCCTCCTGCTCTAAGAGGGAATCTTGTTTTCTCTTTCCTAACTACCAACCATTGCTTAAAACATCCCCCAACAGGAGCCCTCTCTCCAGTGCAGTGATGATGAGAGGTGCAGTGTGAGGAGTAGAAAGAAGTTTATTTCTAATGGTTGCCTTTCATAGAAAACATGTGGTGCTGCAAGGGTTGATCCATCACCCCCCTTTTGGTTATTGGAAATCCCCTTCTGCATTTTAGCTTCTAAGTTTGGCATTTTGTTACTCAGCATAGTGCTCAGAGATGGTGATGCAAGTACTGTCTTAACCTGATAACACTGTGTCTGAAGGGAGGCCTGGGCAATTGGGAATGATCACTAAACCAGTTAGATATGCAGGTCTCACTTCACCCCAGCACCTCTTACTTTCAGAAACACTATTAATTTACAGAGGCTTTTGTATAGAATGAGTGTCAGAATGCTTTCTAAACTTTATTGCTACTGTGTCCATAACCACATTTACTTCTGTCTGGGTGTGTCAAGGTATCACCTTAATAGTTAGTTCCTATGCTATAAGTGGTCATAAAGGAGAAAGAGAGAGAATGCTGATCGTCTAAAGTCAAATATGCACTGTGTCCTCACTTGAAAGCTCTGTCTCCTGTACACCAGCCATTCGGTGCCTGTACACAGTCAAAGTATTTGAATGTGGGTGAGAGAACTTCTGGTCGGTGGGATAGTGTTGGCTTTGAGGGCTGTTGCACTGCAAGAAATATATAATGTGTGAGTTTTTTCAATAGCCTAAGTTCTAAGAACAATGCAAGAATAACCTCCAAGCCAGTTCTAATTCTGTCCACATTGAGAGCCTCATTCTGCAGCCCTTACTCAGCCAGTTTCTTCATTTAGCTCAAGTACAAGTTCAGGGGAAGCCCCATAGTTGCAGACGCTGCAGGAACAGGGCCTTTCAGAGGGCCCAGATTGTAGGACTTTGAGCAGATCTGCATTTCCAACCACTTGGAGCAGGCTTTAGGCACTAAATCATTTTCTGGTGAAGTATGTTTGAATCTTTGAATGAACTGTGAAACTGAATAATTGCTGGTCTATGGAACAGTAAGGTTTAGAGCTTCTGTGGTGCATTATTAATCTTCCCCTTTTGCGCGAGACAAGCTCTTTTTCTGTTACATAGACAGCGTTGCTAGGATGGATAGGTAAGTGGTTCCTAGTGATCTTTGGCTTTAGAGATTATCTTTTCTCTAAAGTAGTGTGGAAGAAAGAAAGCAGATCAGACAAGGAGTCTGCATCCTTCGTTCTGTGCCTGCTTGATCACTAACCAGCTGGGTGACCTAGGACAAGTTACTTAGCAGTCATTTGTAAAACAGAACAATAATGCTGCTCTGGCTTGTTGAGAGAAGCAAATGAGTGTGTGTTTCTGAACAGGCTTTGGAAAAATAAAGCACCGCAGAAATACAAGGCATTATTACTAGTACTGCTAATAATAAACTACTAAACAACGAATCATAATACCAGTTTTTCCAGGGATTAAAAGTATACTTAAGCTTTCAGTTGTCTATTTTAAATGGTGAAATAGCTTTTATTGTAAATAGAGGGATTGACATTTCAAATTCAGTGCTGTCAAGATAAGACTGAGATATCGGTGTACTTAAGTGTCTTGTAGGTCCCAGGAAATCCTGGTTAAAATATGCAATGCTGTGAAAGTGTTTAGGGTCTTTGAATGCACATCCTTTACAGGTCCCTGCATGGACCTAAACAGCTTTGAAATGGTGTGTCCACCAGAGCGTCTAAGGAATATTACAGAAGTCATTTGCACAAATGGCATGGGAAAGTTAAATATTTTGTCAACAATAGTCTAAAATGTTAATTGTTAGCTTAAGAAAGTCAAACAAGTTAAATCATTGCTAGAGTTCCCTGGTTATTTTTAACTGATAGTAATCAAGTTTCCAATTGACAATTTAAAATGTAAGAGCTGTAAGTGGGGTTTTGAGAACAGAAACAATTCATTGGCCAAATCTGGGTGTCTGTAACTGTCTGTGTGATAAATATCCTCCCCAGAACAGTGATAGGAGTGTTTACATTATTTACTTAAGCAGCCATCATTTCCTTAAGAACTGACCTATTTTTGTTCTGTTTTCCAGAACAAAGTAATAAAAGGAGAGTTCTTATCTATCCAGGACCTTTCTACCACTTCTTGAAAGTAAATATAATCATAAGATCTCACAAAGGGAAAAGAGTTTAAGTGGAGGGAGAGTTAGTACAGTACTTTGTAAAAATTGACAGAAGTCTTGTTTTTGACAGCAAGCTACTGTTATTATGTCAACCAAAAATGTCTGGCTTGTTTGGGTCAATGTTTGTTCATAGAAGGCATCTGCTTTCTTTGAAATAACATTATTGTTAGATGATGTTCATAAAGCTTTTCTATACCCTAAAGTTTAAAGCTGTGTGGCTTCCCTATGCCTGCTTGTAAACCTTTTGTTAGTACCCACACAGTGGTTTTCAAATGCCCTTAGACATAACAATGAGACAGAACTAAAAGACTGGCCACCATTAGCTGTTTTTCTTTTTGTTGTCTCTTTGTTTTTAACACTACTATTTAATCTCAAAAATCCTAGAAGGAAATTTTTAAAAGATCATCCAGTTCTTCTATGCATGGCAACTGAGCCATTCTGAGTGGATGCTACTTCTTCCTCATTCTTTATTCCAGTCCCTTATGTGTGTTCCTAGGCAGAATTATATTTAGTGAAAACAATTCCAAATTCTTTCCTCTGCATTTTCATGCTAATTTCCCTTGTACTCTGACAGGCTCTGTGGGAGAAGAGAGAGAAATACAGCTAACGACATAGCTCCTGCTTACTTTTAGTCAATAATACCCTATTGATAAAGTAACAGCAAAAGTACTAACCAGATAGAATGGACATCAGCTAATACAGAAAATCAGAGGGAGGGA